CGCAGTATCACGAGCAGTACTACAAGTACTAAGCTGATCATTTGCATTTTGATAATTCCTTGTCGCAGCATCACGAGCAGTACTACAAGTAGTAAGCTGAGTATTTGCATTTTGATAATTCCTTGTCGCAGCATCACGAGCAGTACTACAAGTAGTAAGCTGAGTATTTGCATTTTGATAATTCCTTGTCGCAGCATCACGAGCAGTACTACAAGTACTAAGCTGATCATTTGCATTTTGAAGTTGTTGGTTTAGCGAATTGATACGATCATAAATACTTTTAAGACATTCGGTTTTACAACAACTATCCGTCATTCCGCAAGTCGGACCACCATTATAACAGCCGTGGTTATAACAATCATTACAATCACAAAGAACTGATAATGCTGGCGTGATAAATGTAGCAATAACTATTGCCATAATCACAGTGCTGACGATTGACTTGGTATGAACCATTTTGTCGTGTTGTTGTTGTTGTTATTCGACGAATTGAAATAATCGAGAAATCGTTTGAAGAGTAACGAATGTTTGTAATCTTCCATCGCTGTTCTCATCCTAATATATATCCATCGAAGAAGGCAGAAAGAAAGAGTGAAAAAAAAAGATTTTTCTTTCAGATATTTTTTATTCGAGAGAGACACAGTGAGAAAAATAGGTGCATCCCCACTAGTATCCCACATCGGTTAGCAGAAACAAAGCAGTGATTAGTTCTCTCTCTATCTATACATATCAATCGACATGACAATCAAATAAAAAGAAAAATAAGTATCACTACTAAATATGAGCCCACATTATTTTGATGTAATAAGGCAATGATTAGTTCTCTCTCTATCTATACATATCAGTCTAAAATGACAACATAACAAAAAGAAAAATAAATATGACTCCTTAATGTGAGTCCACATCGGTGGTTAGAGAGGGATAGTAAAAACGTTTTTCGTTCTCTAGATACAAAACGATATATGCGGACATAACTGTCCCAGTAAAAATAATAGTCTTCTGTCTCTTCGTATACCTATTGATTGAGAAAGGGATAAAACTGTGAAATAATTACTTTTATTTCTTCAAGGGTACATACAATGAGAAAAAAGTATTGTTTTTCTCTGCAGAAAACCTTGAAACATGACCATTTAGTCTGTGCTCATTACAATTTGAAGCAGTTTCGATTTAATCAATTGAAAATACTCAATGAATTGATAGAGGAGAATAATATCATTTAAAGAAACGGATGCTCATAAGAGATTGATTTATTTCATTTAATTGTTCTTTGTCAGAGTTTAATGGGTCATACACAACAAAAAATCTGAGGTGACAAGCATTTCGTCACAAGATATATTTAAAAACAAGATTTGCATGCTAAAAGCACTGAAATAAAGTAGAAAATATTAAAAAGAAACAAATAAATCAAAACGATAGTTTTTTTTTATATGCACTGTAAATATAAAAGTAGATACGTATTAGTTCGTTTCATAAGGATATACGCTTATTGTGTATATACATATGTAAATATACACAAACACCGAACACGCGCACCACGTGTATACATACCTATACGTATATGTATAGAAGGTAAAAAAGAAGAGATAAAATTACGTAGTAAAAATTGTCAACAGATTCGAGTATTTCCCTCTGTCAGTCGCTTCTATATTTGTGATCTAACTGAAAGTGGTTGTGATCGATGCAGAACTAAATTTTACATCGGCTAGTACCAGTTTCGAGGGGAGGAGGTTCTGAGTGAAATTTTCATTATCTATTTCATGCTTTTCTCAGGTATCGTTTAAGATACGAAAAAATTGAAATTAAATTTATTTTTTTAAAATATTTGTTAATTGTTAAATTCTTTTTGAAAAATAACTATTGAAATTTGTATCAAAATTAATATAAAACAAGTAACGCTCGTCTAAGGACTCGCTTAGCTCTTTCTCGTAGAAATGGTGTTCTACAGTGGTATGGGGCCTTTTGCTTATATAACTTGTAAACGCTAACATTAGATTCGTTTTCCCCGACCTCAAAAACTGTTTTGTCAAATTTTCTATAAAAAAAACTTTTTCGTAAAAAAATGGGCCCTGTCTAAAAAAAATTTATTTTTCAAAGAATTTTGGAGAAACTAACATCAGATTCGTGTTTCCCGACCTCAAAAACCACTTCGTCAAATTTTCTATAAAAAAAAACGTTTTCGTAAAAAATGGTCTTTGTCTAAAGATTTATTTTTTAAAGAATTTTGGAGAAACTAACATCAGATTCGAAGTCTCTGCATCGAAACACCTCTGAAAATGTTTTTTCTGAAAAATTGGACTTCGATGTTTTTTTGACCCTGCGGACATACAAGCAAGCAAACAAACAATTTATGTTTACTAGACTCTTCTTTACGAAAAAGAGAATAGTTTTTATGTTAAAAAATATTTTTTGTTTTTCATCATTTTTAATATAATTGTCAAAATGCGCCATTTTTGTGTTTTTCAAGATTCATTGGTTAAACTGTATATTTTCTCTATACTATATACTATCACATTTATCTAAATGATGTCAATAGAGACAGTGGCAACCCTCATTTTCGTTATGTTAGCTTCTGTTATATATCTTTGATCGTTTTGAGAACTTTCTGAAAATAATTTTTCTATAGGACTAAAATGCAGACGTTCTATTCAGGGGTAATCACAGTTTCTTATTCTCAAGATGAAAGGATAGTTTTGAAAGTAAAATAATTTATTTTGATTGAAATCGACGTCAACTTTTACTATTTGATTGTTTCGTGAATCAGCAACATAAAGATTTCTTTGTTGATCAAATGATAAATCCATTGGATAAAATAATTGATTCAATTCTTTTCTATATCTATTTTCATCAATAACAACACTTCTTTTTTTTGCTTTTTCGGCCCAACCAATTACTCCATTATTTTCATAATCTGCCACATAAAATTGGTTAAATTCAGCAACATTAATTTCTTGATTGTATGTTTAACTATTTTATGCAACCATGACTTGCAGAATCTGATATATAGATAATGAATAATTATCATCAACAAAGATGAAACTAGAATAATTGAGTTGATTTAAATTTGTTGATTTTTCATTTCCCCCAACAACAGTTTCAACATAATTTTCATCTGATTTTCATTTAATAATACGATCATTTTGAGAATCAACAATATAAATTGTTTTATCATCATCATCATCATCAATAAGTATACTTGAAGGACTCTGTAGTTGATTTAATTCATTTCTCTCAGCAATATTAATTCCAAATTCTTTCCATTTTGTATCTAAATGAGAATAAAATCTTGTCTAATGAATTTTCTTAATCAAAATATGTTTTTCTATTCTGATTTTAGAAAGATTTGAATAAAACCGCAATTTCAATTGGCGCCGTGAGCACTCTTGAAGACGTGACACGTAATAAGACTGAAGATGTGAATGTAATAGGAACGTTAACTTTTTCATTTATTGAAAATTTCTTACTAGATCGATCAATTAGATTAATTTTATTGATAAATAATGTTGAAGTTTCTTCAATGGATATATTTTTTGGTTCATTAAGTTCTTCTGTTAATTGAATTAATTTTTATTTGAGTTGATTCACGTAATTTTCATTAAATATTTTTTATTAGGAATTCGTTTTAATTGTTTATTTAAACGAATTAATTTATAATCTATTTGTCTAAAAGATTTCTTGATAGATTTAATAAAATTTTGTCGACATTCTTCAGCTGTTTATTTTATTTTAATAATTGAATCATTTTCCCATTGATCCATTTGTTTTATTAATGGGTGTTCTTCTAGATTTTGTTTATGTTGAATAAATTTTTCTGGAAATAAATTTCGATTATTTTCAATTTCATCCATTTGTTCGATAAAGTTTTGATGATGTTCGTTATCTGTCATTGTTATGTAAGAAATCACTTGAGAGAAGGATAAAATGTTATCAATGATTGAAATTATGCAAAAAAATCAAATGTGCCGCAATATATATATAATAACAAAAATGAGATATTTTGAATGCTTTTGAAATTGAGTAAGATTGTTTTTCTTTTTCTTAGAAGTTAAGAAACGCAGATATTGCTTATCTATTAAATATTGTCATATTACTAAAAAGTCGAGAGAGAAAGTGCGAGTCAGATGTGAACAGTATCTTTGTCTTTATCATCTGATTGTATAGTATTATATTATACTAGGTAATGTTGATGATTATTTTAAAATTGTAGTGTTTTACTAGCCTCTTGCAGATGGTAGAATAAAGTTTTGTAACATTTAGCTGAGGCTTAAAAAATAAAATGTCAGATTTTTTTCTGTCTTTCATTTGACAATCATCAGAGACGTTTGTAACGAAAAATACAGAATGAAAAGGAAAGAAGAAGAGTAATTACACAACAGGAAATCGGAATCAATACAAAATAGAAATGTATAATGCATATTGACTGGTCGAGCCGCTCTCCTGGGCTTTAACCCATACAACTCTCTCCTCATGAGCCATAAGCATTAGGACGCGGAATCTCGGTTTCGCTAGCTCAGGAGAAAACCGACACTCGATCATAGTTTTTTTTCCAAATTAAATATTAATTTTATTCACTTAAACTAATACCAATAGAAGTCACTGTTCAAAATACTTACTGATTTCTTTGGTTATCTTTTATTTTTTTTATTCGATATATCAAGTATCATACTGAATTATTCAAATACATAAAGCATGGCTCTTACCTGTAGAATTTCATATCCGATTTTAAAATAGTAAAACTCATGTTATAGATGCATTCAACATTTGTGAAAATATTATCACGTCGTTGACATTTACTCTCTTTTGTTTTCTATTTCGTACAGAGTTAAATGTGCTATCATACACTCTATTTCTTTCACAAATATATGTTTATGTTATAGACAGAATAAAAATTTAATTGGACTTAAATTCATATAACTACGTGTTTTACTAAAAGTAGAGTGAGATGAAAAAAGTAGCAAAGAAATCTGTAATCTCAATAGCTGCGTCCATCAGTAATATCAGTACAGATGTATATATTACAGAGTAATAAAAAAAAGTGTTTATAACGATATTCTTGATTGTTTATTATTATCTAAAGGGAACCCATCAGACTTGTTTCCGTCACAGTCTGATTTTTGGTTAAGAAGGTGGGGTGGGTCTGGATGTTGATATTATAAGCACCTCTCACCCACCCTTTGTTTATAATTTGGTTTGTCTTAGATTTATGTAAGAATAACAATGAAATAATGTAATTCTGATATAAATATTGCTCATGCACATGAAGAAATGGTTTATAACTCGTTCAGATGTTGTATGAAAAAGTTGAACTATTTCAAGCGAATTCATCTCGATACAAATTGATTTCAATACATTTAGTAAATAAATTAATGATTTGATAGATTTGAGTATACGGCAGAGATACAATACCGACACCTTCATTAATACTCAATTTTCTTTCTTTTTTGTTGACTGATGCTAACAATTCAAATCTTTCAGTCGATCATGCGAATAATACACACTTTCATTGATATATTTATTGACTGAATATATTTTTAGATAGTACAGAATAAAATAAATTTCTTACTCGTAGGTCAACTCAAAGTCGAATCATTTTCCATTTCTGATCAGCATTATTTACTTCTTCCCACAAATGTAATTGTATTCCTGCGTCAGTTGAACTTGCTGGAACTGATACTAGTTTTCCTGGACCTGGTTGATTTAATGAGTGAACACTAATGAGTTGAACTACTCCAGGTGATCCATCTACTTCATTTATTTTCCACAATTGATTGTCACCAGCATGATAAACTGCTTGAATCAATGGCGCTCCATTATTTGTCTGCCAACCGTATGCATCTAAGGCTTGACGACTGTGAGCCGCGAATATACGATACTGACCATGACCAGCATATTGAACGTGCCATTTCTATAAAAGAATTCAAATTATTTCTTTTACATTTTTCAATGTATAGTGGATCGATATATCTTTAAATTCAATGGGATTCTTTCTTTTCTTACTTGCCAATCGCCACCATTGTCATGCCATTGCAAAACTCTAGCTCTCTCAGTTGTCAATGCACTCTCAATCTCCATCACGAATCCTGTATGAGTATTTTCGAATTTGTAAAATCCATCGTATTTAGGTTGCCACATTTCAATCCAATCAACACTCATTAATGTTGGATAAGCTCGAGGATCAATAGGAGTATCTTTCGATTTTCCACCTACACCAAAGCTAATAACTAAACACATATTGTCGACTTGTTTTAGTTCATTTGATTTGACAATTGTCTTGACCCATTGATCATCATAATACCATGTTATCTGATCATAGCCCCAATCTACTCCAAAGCGATGGAAACCACTACTTGTTTCTCGATTATCGGCTGTATAGCTTTCGTCTTCAGCTGTAGCTTGATCATTTGCATATCTGAATCCGTATGTGAAACGTGAACGCGAATTGAAGACTTCCATTATCGTGATCATTGGTACGGTAGTCTGATCCTCACCGATGAGATACACCGATGGCCACGTACTTTGAACATCGGATGCTCGCAAGTTTACTTCAACGTATCCATTTTTGATACAAAATTTACCGTTTGTATTTACAGCGCCGGAAGTGAAGTCTAGATCGATTGGACCGAAATCGGTGAGGATACCAAGAGTGATTGTTCGTTCACGTATAGCCGAGATATTAAGGTACCCTTCAGGTGTGATTTTGGCTTGACGTGGAACGGTGTTAGCCCGATGATTATGGTAAGAACCCCATGGATATCCATAATTCCAAACGCTAGTGTTCAATGCCGGAGGATTAAATTGCTCAGAAAAAGTAAGAGCAAGACCATCCGTAGGATGAGTGTCAGTATATGAAACAACCAGAAGATAAACAAGTGGTATTAACAATATTCTCATGATAACTTTAGACCGAAAAAAGCAGAATGATGATAAACTAACGAAGAATACAGTTTAAATTACGTGATGAGAGAAAGTACCAGATGTACTTTTCTTTTGTGTTGGTGGGAATAATTCAGCTGTGGGTTGTCAACTTAGAGATGCACACTTATTAAGTCCTTTGCTTTCAAATATGAGGGATTGGAGGGGGTCCATTATTGGAGTGTGCCTCTAATTAACAAAAAAGAAATATATTTAATGGGTAAAACAAAAATTTGAATTCAGGGTTGAGAAAAATGATCAGTCTCACTCTTTCTTTATACTTACTGTAAACTTAACAATGCACACTGTAAAGTTCTCGTTCGACTTTCATTCCTAATACTTTATTTTTCATAGTTCCTCTGTTGCATGATAGAGAGTGTAGTGTATAGTGAACAGTCATACATGTGTAGCGCTTTATTTACTATAAAATAAGCATCCATACCGACAGTGTGTGTGTAGATGCGATGAATGTTAATTATAACTACACCTTCACCCAATATAAATAAACAAAACGAAAAAGCTGCATTATCTCTCTCATTCTGAGAAAAATATACAATTTATTATTCGAATCTTTATTTAGGCTAGATAATATTATTTATTCATAGAGTCCTCCAATTCTAGGGTTGTGGAAGACTCCTCTTCATGTTCTTTTTGTTTTCCTTTACCATGCGAAACAGTTAATTTTCAGGATGAGTTTAAAAATGGGATTCAACGGGCATCACCTTCATGTGAGATGTGTAGTATTGATTATATCGAACTACATCAACGATGCTATTGTAATTTTTTCCACATAGGTACAAATGAATCATAGTCTATACAAGATGCAATTTGAGATACATTTTAACAATTTCTTGATAAATAATTTACGAAATCACAATGGAGCAAAATGTTAGACTAAAATTATTCAACATCATCATCATCATCAACAGTACAAAATTTAATTCGATATTGAACTTATGATTATTCAGCTATTATTTATTTATATCGGTTAGTTATGAATCAATGGACATTTCAATAATTTAAAGAAACTTCAGTTACAATGTTATCAACTAATCCGTCAGTAAATATAATTAATTATGAATTGGAAGATATATCAGATGATGAGAATTTACCAATTCCTCAATTATCTCCGATCAACAATAATATACTTCAACAAGTAAGTGATGAACTACTACCATTTGAGCCAACATTAACATCTCAAACAAAATTACCTCAAGTTAATTTACATTCACGTCGATCTAATGAAGCACAAACAAGAAGAAATAAACAAAGAAACATTCATCGTCGTTTATATCGTTATCGTAATTATAATGTTCGAGAATTTTATTATCAATTTACATTAATATGTGCAAGACACACATACTTCATCAACTTCATATTAATGTTGTTCATATTAAATATAAAAATGAAGAATTAAATCATCAATATTTTACAATGTTATCAGTTGATATATTTAGTCGTCAACAGTATTATTGTCTTTGATATATAAATAGATGAGTGAATCTTCTGTGAAGAAGTATTTATATGGTTTGTATCAATATTATTTTTGTTATAATTTAAATTATGTTATTTCTTGTTCTATGCATTTATTACTTTTTTCTTTATTCTTATTCACTTCTATTTTCATTAAATTATTTTTGTCTGAGTTAATTTTCTACTTCTTTGATATTTTTTTTCTTACTAACTAATCATAGGATGTGAGGAACAATTCCACTTCGTTGAATTTTTTTTGATAAAAAAGTTTTTAAGTAGGCAAAATATTAGGATCTGACATCTATAATGATTTGTTATATTTATTTGATCTCTAAAATCTTTTTCTTCTTCCTGCCTACCTTTTTCTTTTCTCTCTTGTTAGTATTTTTTGCCTTTGGTTTTATATATGCATGGAAAAGAAAAAGAAAATAATGTATGATGTATGTTCTGTACAGAAAATGAACTCACATTTGTCCTTTAACTTACGATCATATATTATAGAACATAATAAGTGACTTTTGCATTCTTTTCTCCTTTAACCATTTCTTTTTCTTCGTTTTTCTCTTTCGTCATCCTTCTTCTCGTTCCATTTCACTTTGCACTTAGTTTTTTTTAAATTTTACTTTGTTAAAAATCGTCCCAAATAAACCAAAGTATTTTTAAACCTTTTTATTTGTTCATCAAGTTTAGAACAATATTAAAATGCGTTATCTATTTTATTAGAAATATTTTCTCCTGAAAAGAAAAAATCGCAATTGACTTCCAAAATCATAGATAATGTTCCAATCGATAAATACAGTCTTAAATACTAGAAATGCCTATACAAATTTACTTTTGATTTTATAATTGGAAAATCAAACTTGTTATCATACCCATCGGACATGATACACTCTTTACTCTCCCATGCATCTATCTGTACTTATACTTTTCTCACTTCCCCCTTCTTCTCATATGTATATATGCCTCTCCATACTCCGTATATTTTGATGTTTTATCCAATTCATCACGTGCTCTCCTTCATTCTTAGTTCCATACCATATATACATTCTTTCCTCGTTTCATCTTTTATGATATAGCGTTACACGTGATGATATGTGCTCATAGTATGCTTCGCTTCTTGTTGTTTTTGGTTTCATACTCATTCATTTCTTTTTGTTTCTTAGAATATACACAATGAGATACTCATCACAGCTATTTTCTACAGAAATTAAGTAAATTTGAAAAAAAGCAGAAAACTTCTTGTTTGTAAACTTGTAATTCTTGTGCATTTCTTTTCTGAGATTCTAACGCAGTTCCATGGAGGCATCTTGTAACCAATCACCTACAACTTCGAATTTCAACGATCTCTACGATAAATGCGAAATAGTCTTTCTGGGTGTGCAAATCGATGAGAATGGTAAAGGTCAAGATATGGGAGCCGTTCTTCAATCGATCAGAAATATCCATTCATTTACCGATGCCGAAAGTTGTCTCAATCATATCAACAACCATTGGCGTTCTCGCATTTTTCTGATTACATCTGATCGGCTGATCCTATCGATTTTACCAGAAGTGGAAAGACTAGATCAGATCGTTTCAGTCTTCATTCTTTGTGAGAACATATATCTGGAGAACTTCGCAACAATCTGCCCTGACAAATCCTGCGGAGTGTTCAGAGATAAAGATCGTTTACTAAGCAATTTGCAGGAACATATCATTCACCAAACTTCGCTCGTTTCCACAATAGAGTGGTCATCAATTGAAAATGAAAATCAACAGTCAATCCTTCCTTTCGATGACGTACGAACATGGAGTGTTCTTGCTGACCTGAACAACATAGTACGGACTGATCTGGAAGATAGCTCTCGAGTATTCGACAAACAACAGATGATCAGAGAATGTCGTCTGCACTTTGCGAACGATCCAAAAAAGCTGGAGCAAATCGATGAATTCGCTCAAACTTATAATCCATCAGAAGCCATCAAGTGGTACACCAAAGACTCCTTTCTTTTTCAAATAGTGAATACAGCTATTCGAACACAATCTAGTGAGATTATCGGCAGATATCGCTTGTACATCAAGGATTTGGAAGAATCATTAGATTTGTTTTTCGCCAAACAGATATTTGATCGTTGGTCATCGTCTTCGACTTTATGTGATAATAAACTCTTGCGTGTCTATCGTGGTCAAATGCTTTTTCCGGCTGATGTGAAACAATTACAATTACTTTCCGGACAACGCATAATTATAAGTCAGTACACCTCTACGACAAAAGACATCAACGTAGCAGAAGCGTTTGCTGGTGTAGGAAGTAATGACCCTCATAAAGAATCAGTTATATATGAGATGGATATGAGTGTTATCTATGAAAGTTATACCGATAAACCAGATCCGACTGTCTATTACTATGACATCAGTTGTCTCAGTCAAATGGAAGATGAGGAGGAAGTTTTACTTCGCGTTGGAACGGTTTTTCAACTGGTGCGTATTGAAAAATCGACCGATGGCAGTTGGCATGTGATCTTACGTCTAGAAAAAGTTGATGATTATCGAAGCGCTATCACCGTTCATCGAACACCCGATGAGGTCGTGGATTGTTTTTTCCGCAAAGCAAGTCAATGGCGGAATATCAATCTCGAAAACATGCGGCTATCTACGGACATGATAATTCGTATGAGTGTTTTCATCCGGCTTGGGCATTTAGTTCGACATCATCCTCGAGAACAACTTCAGTATTATCAATCCGCATTAGCTATCATACCTTCGTGTGAATTGGCCCTTCGAGAAGTTGGATATTGGGCAATACGAATGCGGTGCATCTCGAGTGTTAATGACTGGACCTCAGTGCCGGTGAACATCTATCGCCAAACTGTGTTTCATGTTAAAGCATCCCTGAGAAATCAACTAAATCGCGAACTCGCAGGCATTGAGGAGGCACGTGGTGCATTTCGTTCGGCAGCAAGGTATTGCCATCAAATTTTGAAACACAGTAATAATTGTTTAGAAAAGCAAATGATGTCAAGAGAAATAGAACGACTTAACAAAAAAGTCGATGATCTTCAACCGGTGTTACCACCAGGTCAGATTGCCTATTGGTACTTGTATGTCACTGTACTGACGGCCGACGAGCGATCAATGGTCGATCATTGCTGTAAATTGTTCCATCAGCATATAGACAAGCGTAATTTATCGAAATATTTCGACTTTGCCGCCATCTTACCCAACATCGATTGGAATGAATATCCCGAATTAATCAATGATGATGGTATCGAGCACATTGATTCTAGTTCACGAGAATTTCCAATTTTCCACGTATTCATTAGAACTGTTACAGACAGACAATTAGAATTCGACTTAGACAGAAATACGACACTTCGTCAACTGAAAGAACTGATTCGTAGTAGCTTTGATCTACCATATCCAGCAAAGTATGACTTTCGCTTGATTTATTTGGGAAGGAGTCTTACCGATGAAGACAACTCACTCTATCACTACAACGTATATGATCAGTGTGTGATGTATGTCGTTCATGGTCCACACATCCAGGACGAATCTATGAATCGATTGGAGCGAGAGCTATACGAACATACTGGTTTGAATTCCAGCAATATGGATAGGATCCTTGCTGTAGCAAGAATACAATCAGAAAAGCATGGAGCTGAAGTTCAAAAAGTGTACAATATGTTTACGAATCTCTGTATGAATGAAATCAAGACTAGTGAATCGTTTAATTATGCATTTACGGAATTTTTTCGAGAAAGACTCGGCTCGAATCAATATAATGAAGACGAAGACGCTGATCCTTATGACTTAGTGAATATGTCACATTCAGCTGCTATGGAATACATAGAAAACAGTGGTCCAAACATATCAGCACGTGAATTGCTCAATGCATTCGGTGGATTTGCTCCTCGAAGTAATATGGAATGGAACAGCGATGATCAACAGCATAGACAAACTGATCATGATAGCCATATGGATCTACTGAAACAGCAGATTGGTGAATCTCTCTCCGTCTCAAACTGCCAGCCTTCGTAAATGAATGCATTTCCATATTCGAACGAATGAACGCATTATATTTCTTTGATATCTGACTAACACATCATTAGAGTAGATCATTCTTACTATAGTTCTTCGATTAGATGAAATTTAAAGAGTTTTTTCTTAATAAAATTCAAGACTCCAGTGATACCTCAAAAACCTCAGTAGGCATGGTTAACAACTGTTCGATCAATCGGTTTTTACCATTTTCTTTCGTAGCTATCTCCGGAATATGAGTAATGTTCTTTATAACCTAGGTTAAATGCTGCTTTGTCCAGTTAAAAGTAAGTAAAAAGATCCTGGATTAGGTTTATTCTATGACTCATATATTCTGTCCTGTATTTCTACTACTTTTCCTATTTCTCCTCTATGCTTTTGCAAAAAGAACAGAAATGTTCAAAATCCAAAAATTCCATTGTTCGTTGTATTTAGATTTTCGATAATACAGATATATCTATATACATTTTTCAATGATCGTCTGTATTATAACGACATGTTTAGTAAAAATTATAATTAAAACTTTTTTTTCATCTGATGAATGAACCGCATGAAAAACTTGTGGTCATCACAAATAATAGGTAAAGGCAATTTCCTTAATAGAGACCATGGATGTGGCTGATATGGTGTTATCCACATGTACACCCACACCCAAATCTGATGCTTGTTTCAAAGACGCACAATACTTTTTTACTATCATTTATGACCAGCCCATCCTACATATTTCTCATCAATTTTCATGATCATCCTGCGATAGTTAAAATCGAATTCACTTTTACTTTCAGAGTAAAATCCGTCAAATTGAATTTGTATTTCACATTATCTAACCATCATATACATCTATATTACATGAAATAATCTTTTAAATCAATATCTCTACTGTACTGTTTTATTCTCCAATGAAAGGCAGTAACAATAGTATAGTTATTAATGAAAATAAACAACACTCGAAAATAATAACGATAACAATGTTTCAAAGTTCGACATCACAAAAAAGAAAAGAAATCTATCTGAAAACAAATAACAATAACTAATTGAAAATATTTTTTCTATTTTCCAATAGAAAACGATCGACCCGTTGGATTATGTATAGGTAATGTTGTTGGTTCGACTACTGTCCATTCATACCAAACTTGAGATGATGAACAACAACGCCAAAAATTCACTTTTATTGTTGAATTTGCCGATAATGTTATTGGTTCCTAATATCATATAAAAATAGTCTATAAATCTTCATTCTTTTTCTTACTCGAATTGGAAAAAACATTGGAAACCAACTAATTAAATTTTTTGAATGTGTATTTGGTTCAATACCTAGATTCACATATAATTTAACTGATTTAATAAGATATTTAACTTACTAATTGAAATATCTTTATACAATTTTGCATCAAAAAATCCAGCAAAACCATGCATAGTACCTGTTGTTGGTATTGTAAATTCTACTTCACCAAATCTTGAATTATCAATTGGATCTAAATAATTCAATTTTCCAAAAAAAAAGACTCTTCAAGTTTTAATTTTATTTACTCGAAAAATTTGGATGTGTAAACGTAAATAATGGCTTTGTTTCAGCCAAGAAAAAACAATTATGTAAATAAACAACAAATGGTGTTTCAAAATTAGCCTAAATAGATAATCTTAATTTACGAAATAAAAGAAAAAAGATTTTCTTCTTTTTTGTTTTTTACATAATATGGTTTATTTGCATCTCGATTATAGACTAATTCAGAAAATATACGTGGTGATTGTATAGGACATATAAACGATGTATATGAATAAGGTATACTAATTCCATCATCTAAAACGATTTCAAAATTAAAACTAAGTTTTTTTTTGTTATTGTTGTTAAACCTTTTAAATAACGTTGTGCACCATCTAGACATTCCGGTGATAATTCATTATCACCAAATGAACCTAATAATTCACTAACCATAATATCAGCTTTACATACTGGTTGCCAAGAACGCATATCTTCATGAATTATAGTTACTCGATTACCCCATTCTTGTTTTTGAGCATGAAGACTAAGAAAGAAAAAAATATTTAAGAGAATAAGAATTATTCTCAACTATAAAATTTACGATATAATTGCCATAGGATTTTTTTCTACTGCATAAATATGTACGTTATATTTTGCTCGATCAGCTGCTTCAAGTGCTCGATTAACCAATGGACCACGACCAGCACCAACTACCATAATAGTTCTAAAAAAACAAGTTTTTGAAAAAATATTCTTCTATTAGAAAATCGAATAGAAAGGGGATGATCGAAAATCATCATTTTTAACACACGCTAGAAATGGCATAATACGAAAGTCCTTGTCGCCTAGATCACGAATCTGACATCCGTTTGTCTAGATCTGATCCTTTTTTTCAGCGATTTCCATGGGTGGAGTATCTGAGTCTGGTACTGGATAGTTCCATGCGATGTCAAACACAAAATACAAGAAATATTCAGAAAACTGTTCTCAGAAAATTTTATTTTCCTTCAAACTTTGTAGAGCTTTTTCCACTGATCATTTTCGTCTAAGGAAGTTTTGGATTCTATTGAGAAATGACGATGCTATCGTCAGAATAAAGAACATAGTAAAAACCCATTTTTTTCTTTATAAAATATGGGAAAAAGTCGAGTCTCTAATCTCGAATTGAGCATATTCCGAAGACATATGATATAGTGCGTTTTATAGAGAACAATTTTCTCTTCAAAACTTACTATGTCATATTTCTTCGGAATAAAGTTGGCTCGAGATTAGAGACTCAACTTTTTCCCATATTTTAAAAGGAAGAATGGGATCTCAAGGTATTTTACTATGTTTTTTATTTTGATGATAGCGTTGTCATTTCTCAATAGAATCCAAAACTTCCTTATACGAAAATGATCAGCGGAAAAAGCTCTACAAAGCTTGGGGGGAAAAGAATATTTTCTGATAACTTTCTGAATACTTTGTGTACTTGTATTTGACACCACATGGAACTACCCTACATGGACCTAGATACCCCTTACGGGAAAAACCGACAAAAAAGGGATCAGATCTAGACAAACGGATGTCAGATTCGTGATCTAGGCGACAAGAACTTTTGTATTATGGCATTTCTAGCGTGTGTTAAAAATACTGATTTTTCGATCACCCCCTTCATGTACTGAACTACACTTTTGTAACATTCATTATATGATTAATAGAAAAAGATGCACGTAAGCTTCTATGTAAACATTCGAGATAAAGTTATGATAAATTATACTTACACAGGTTTTTTTTGATCATATTTTTCAATTAATGCTTGATAAATAGCCTTTTATCAAATAAAATAAAAGAATATTTTCATCTCTTCATATTATATCTACTTTTTCGTATTGAATATATTTAATTGGATCTTTTTCGAATATTTCGTATGTACGTGATTCAAGATTATCAGCTAATGGTTGAAGTGGTACTTGTAATCGATCTTCATAACCATGTGTAAATGATTCAAGGACACGATTTGTTGGTTCTGTTTGCTAATGAATTGAGAAAAAAAAGATATTTTATTACGATAATAAGTCATATAGTTTACTCGTGTAACATGTTTAAGATATTGTAAATAGGGTTCAAATAATGTTGAATCTCTTGGATTTATACCTTTGATAATAAATTGAACTTTAAGCTAAATGAATTATCATCGATGTTTTGTTTATAAAATAGAAAATATCAATTTTACTTTAATTAATTTTATTATAAAAAGTTGATGAGCAGGTGAAAGAACAGGAAAACCTTTAGCATTAGTTGTAAAAATTTTTGTTGGTAATATAACAGCACGTACAGGTTCACCTAACCATCGTTTTTGTGCTTGTTCACTTGGTACATCAGCTGATAATTCTAATAAAATACAGAATATATCGTTTTTTTGATCAATGATCTAATGACTTCATACCTAAAACTGGATAAACTTTTCCATGATAATCAAGTAATTTATAGATTTTATTCCACCAAAGCCATGGTTGTAATTCTGCATCATCATCATCGGAATTACTTTGAGCACTTGTTGGAAAAACAAACCAATACTAGAAAAAAAACGGAATATTTTAATTTTCGATAAAAATGATTTTCCTTACAGCAAAATACAATGTATTAAGTGTACTAGCAGCAATTCGAGTTAAATTTGTAATATTTCCATTACGAATACGAATAATAACACGAGCAACACTGAAATATTGAGCAGCAGCTAATTCTTCTTGAAGTAACTAAAGAAAAATATGTTAAACAAGAGAATATTCAGTTATTTTTGTTTCTTTACTTTCGTTGCTTTATTTCGTATATGAACATTTGATGAATCAACATCGACAACATGTCGAATAAGAGCAACTAATGCTGTAGACATATCTGAAAAGGAATTTTTAGTAAGGAAAAAAATTTAATTCGTATATTTACCTGCACTTTCACCAACACCTTTCAAACGACTAGCAATAGCTGGCCAAGCTAATTGTTTCGATCCATAATTTGTTAATAGATCAGTACCATATTGTTTACGAATAATTGGTATAACAAGAAAATCATATCTGAGATTAAAAACAAATATTTAATAAATAATAAAACTATATATTTTACTTTTGTGCTGAAGCAAGTGTAAGTGCATCTTTGACACTTCGTATTGTAGTAAATTCTATGCCTAAGGATGGAGTCGATTGTGTAGACATAATTTTTCAGAATAGTATTATACTTAAAAATCTAAAAAGAATGATTAATAAGAAATTTTTTTCTGTTTTGGAATAATCAATTCTTGGTTTTGTTCTAAAATTATTTCAATTCTATTTTAAATAGTCATTTCATATAGCTGATTGTACCTCCGTACGACAGATGTCATAAGTAGTCATTGAATTATGAATTGTTCGAAATTAAAATGAAATTTATATCATTTCTGTTAATGATAATTCTTACTAGAAATGAAATAAAACTTATTTTCAATTGAAAATACAATTAACTATCGACATCTATTACCAATCATAATCATTGTCGGTTATGAAATGACGAATATTTGTTTATTTGTTTACTTTTGTTTTCTCTCTCTCTCCTTCTCTCCTGTTGAATCATCAATCGTTTACTCGAAAAAAAGTCGTAGAAGTAGAAGAATTATAAGATGGTTCAGCAGCATTGTGTTAATGCTGCAAGTACAGATTTTAGTTCTTATAATTCTAAAAAACAACGTGATGCTGCTGATGTTGTAGGCAGTAAATTATCTTCGACAAATAATGCACTTCATCATCATATTCGTACATTAGGTTCAATGCAAGCTGGTTCTGTTGATTTTGTTTCAAATGTTTTACCAATATCAACACGATCCTATTCAGCGATATCAACTGAACCTATTTCATCCGATCCAAATTCATCATCCTATAAAACGAATACAACAGCATCATCATCATCATCATCCGGTTATGAATCTGTTGTATCACGTTCATCAAAATCACATAAATCATTATTTTCTCGTTTGAAACGTTTAATTAATTTTCCTTCAACAAAAATTTCAGCTGATTATCAACTATCAACAATAAATGATCCAAATAATTCCAATTCACCTGTCCTAGCATTACGTCATCAATTATCATCATCTGGGAATAATTCCTCAAATGAGCTTCGACGAAATTCTTTAACACGTTTAGATATTAAACGAAAATCATCTCGACGAACATTAGCATCTTCTACACAACATATTCCGTTTTTATATGGATTGAAAAATTGTGGTAATACTTGGTAAGAATAAGTTTCAAGTTTTTCAACAAAACTGTATGCTGTAACTATGTGCTTTTTTTTCTTACGCATTACTAGTCGAGTCAGTACAGCCCAGAGTATCTACTAGAGGAATCAAAAACAGATGATTACAGTTTTAGCGAAAACTTAGATATCCGTAAAATCCACATTTGGAGCATACTTGACTTGACCGTTTATTTATTATATTAAAAATAGAAGAGATAGATACGATGTATTATATGAGAACAATTGTTAAGGTTTCAAATGTACGTATAGAATATTGTTCAAGGTCAATTGAACATAAAAATGTTCGTATGAAACATTTCAATATCGTTTGTATACTTCCGAGAAAGAAAAAAATTGAAGGATTTCACATCAAGGCAAGGGGAATACAACAGAGACTTCATGCATGAAGTCTCTTGCAGTCTATCGAAGTCTTCTGAAATTTTTTGAAGTCCGCTGTTTTCCTTTTGCATCAAGGTTAATAAAATGAATATTTTTACTTTCTTTAAAAAATATCTTTAGTTGATAAACTAAATCCCACTCACTATGATATATCATTTTATAAAAATAATTATCAGCATGTTTTTCCTTTTTGAGAGAAAAAGTAATTATCTTATTCGGATGAAAAACAGGAAAATGTTTTTTTTCTTCTTTAGTTATATCAATGCTATTCTTCAATGTTTATGTCATACAGAACAATTAGCATCATATATTCTACGAAAAAGTTATGAAATTGATATACGTAATATAAAAAATGCGATTAGTGATTGTTCAAATTCATCTCAAACACCACCAATTGGTTTTAAAGTAACGAAAATTTTTGTACAAATATTTCAAACATTATGGAATAATTCATCGAATACAACATCTAAATTATTATATGATTTTAAAACAATTGTCGGAAATCTTAATAGACAATATTCAGGCAATGAACAAAATGATGCACAAGAATTTTTATTATTTCTTATTAATACAATTCATGATGAATTAAATTTAGCTGCTCCTGGACGATGTCGACAACAGAATAAAGTAAACAACATTTAACAAACTTTTTTCTTCTAAATATAATAATTATTATTTAGAATTCATTTTCTTGTGTAACGACATCAATTGCATCATCGGAATTAGCTCGTCGCGCTTGGTTAGAATATACTGATGCTAATCAAAGTATCATAACATCAATATTTAGTGCTCAACTTCATTCAACATTACGTTGTAATCAATGTAAAGAAGAAAGTAAAACATTTGAACCATATCTATTATTATCATTACCAATTCCACAAAAAATTATAAAACCTGTTTTTATAACTGTTGTTTTTCTTAATCAATCACCGAAACAACTACAAATTGGTTTATGTTTACCCATAACAAATACTGTTAAAGATGTTCGAGAAGCTATAGCTCAACAATCAAATCTTGATCCTAATGATGTAATTCTTTCTATCTTTCTATTAAAATTTCAATGAATTTATGATTTTTGTTTTTGTCACTTCAGCTTGTACTTGTTGAAATTCAACAACAAAATGGTTTTTCTCAAGTCTTTCATGATACAGAACCAATTACTCGTCTTACAAATGATGTTTATGCAATACAATTTCCAACATCAACTTCAGAAAGTACGGAACATGTTGCATCAACTACCGATAATTCATCTCCGTCTTATGTTAATATACTTGTTCTTAATCGTGTACGATATAATTCTGGTCGAGTCGAAAGATTTGGACCACCAATCGGTAAAAAATTGAATTCCTTTCTTCAGAACCAAAAAAATAATAATATATAAATCTTATTTTAGCTGTTCGTGTTCCTCGTCAATCGAATTATCGTACATTACAATTATCAATAATAAAAGCTCAACGTTCATTAATTCGTGATGAAGCAATGGAATATGCTCAAGAATATGTCGTTTTTCAATTAACACTTGTTGATCAATATCAAACAGCAACATCTGGAACATTAAAACAAGAATATCCGATTATTCATGATGTTCAATTACCACTTTATCTTGAAAAAATTGTTGAAATTCTTGATACATACGATGGACCAGGTTTAGGCCCATCACATATTCAAGTATATGCTAATTGGCATGAAAAATATCTTGGTGAATTTTTATCTAAATGGGCTTGTGGTGATGATAAACCCGATGTTCATCAATCAGTTACACAAGCTCGTGCAACTTTACATCAACCATCATCATCATTAATATCACTAGCTGATTGTTTTTCTTTATTTACTCAATCAGAAAGTTTAAACTATGTACGATATATATAATTCATTTTCCATTTTTATTTTATTATGATTATTTAGGATGATGCGTGGATGTGTACACATTGTCGTCGAAAAGAAAATGGTACAGTAAAAAATTTAAAAATTTGGACAACACCACCGGTTTTAATAATACATTTAAAACGTTTTTGTCAAACAAAAATGTCCAATTCAAAATTAACTTATCCTGTACAATTTCCACTGACTGGTTTAAATGTCAAACGATTTTTATCTACAACGAAAAATCTTTCAGATAACGATGAAAATGATAGTGAAATCGATGATGAACAAGATGATTTTATTGAAGAGAATGATGATGATGGTGATGATGAAAGACAATATGGACTTTACGATCTATTTGCTGTTTGTAATCATCGTGGGAGTATGTCAAATGGACATTATACTGGTAATTAAAATAAGCATTATTTTTTTGTTTTCGAAGAAATTAGTTTTTGAGTATTAACAAATGGTATAAACTTTTATATTTTTTTGTGTACTCAAAAAGTGAGTACACTCTAGAATTGGTCAGTGTGGTCGGCCGTCCGTCCGTTTATCCGATACCTTTCGGAAGGCTAAGCCGATATTCATGAAATTTTCTACACAATTCAGTCTCATCAAGATCTCGGTAGAGTTCGAAGATGACACTAATTGGCCAAGCCATTCTCGAGTTATTACGAAAATACTGATATTTCCCTAGATTTCCATATACACTTTTTGCTGTACACATAACTCTCGGATAAAATCCAAAGTTCCTACACTTATTTCAGTTCTGTTTGATCATCTCAAATAAGAAATTCGATATTTAAAAATATTTGAATATAATAATTTGAGAATGGTTCTTTTTAATCTTATCGATAACGTTTTTAATTCTTATCAAAAGGTTACGAAATTCGCTTATCTAGACGAGAGAATTACGACTTTCTGAAGAAATAAATTGAATTTCTATTTCTATTTTAGCTTATTGTAAAAACCCCATAACAGACAAATGGTTTTGTTACGATGATCATCTTGTTTCTGAATTAGATCCATCTCGTGTATGTACACCAGATGCATATATTTTATTTTATACACGCCGTAATACACCATCATATCCATCGTCACAATCTATTCAAAAATCTTCATCAACACAACAACAACTCGATACAATTACTAATGATATTGATGAAAATTTAAATCTTGATCGTTCTTCGTCTTCTACAGAAGATAAAAAACCTCATTATACACTTCAACCACCATTACCATTACCGAGAAAATTATTAATAGCACCATTTCAAGAAGAATTTTCATCAGTACCATGTCCAATGCCTAGAACTCGTTTACCACAAAATGACACACAGATCATATCTCAACCAACACCATCTGTTCGACGAAAATTAGCTAATTTTAATCTTCAGAATTTATCATCATCTATTGATACAGATACAAAAGATCCATGGAGTCGTTTTAATAACTCACGATATTCTAGTGATGAACCAGAAAGTAATGTTGTTTATCATACAACAATATCACGATAAATTTCTTATTTCAATAAATATTGTCATATAACAGTAAACATATATATATATATATTTTTTTTTCGATTTCATCCGAGCCTTTATCTGTCGTTTGTTTGTGCTCCGTTAGACTTTTTTTTTTTGTTTCTTTTCATTAAATTAATTGTTAATCTATATACACTTAATTTGATCTATATTCTTGTGCATTCAATTGACATTTTTGTTCTTTTCGAATCTATCATGTATATACAAAAATATATATTATATATACGAAATTTTCAATTACTGTGAAATATATAATTATATTACATAAAAAAAAATAAAAAGAATTTTTATTATTGAATAAAGTTGTTGACTGAATCCATGGGAATCCTACCACGGTTTTGGAAAAAGGTTTTTTTTGAAAGAAAGACGTAAGCGATCTAGAAAACATTATTCGCCGAAAAAAAACTTGTTGAAATCTTGAAGTTCTAAGTGGTTTTCTTGGAACATGTATTACATGTTCGAGCCGTCATATCAATAGATGACCTACTAAATATTCAAACCAAAGGTTTTTATCACTTTTTATCTCTCAGAAAGATAGAAGCACCACAGACAACGTGGTTCGTCAATAAAACAATAAGTATTATTTCTAATGAAATGGTCAAGTTCTAAATCATTTTTTGGAACATGTCAGATGCAGCAAATCGACTAAAATTTTTTTTCGCGATTTATATATGGTTTGATAGAACTAGTCGAACTCTAAAAAACTGCTGTTTTTCGAAATTTTTGACCTACTAAAGACGTTTACAAATATGCTCGTTATAGGTATAACCATTAGGAAGGTATTAGAATATTTAGTAGGTCATTTATTGATATGATGGCTCGAACATGTAATACATGTTCCGAGAAAACGACTCAGAACTTTAGGATTTCAACGAAAAAGGTTTTTTTTCGGCGAATAACGTTTTCTGTCAAAAAAACCTTTTTCCAAAACCGTGGTAGGATTCACCCATATTTCAATCTTCATGAAATACACATAGAGTATTCATTGATTATTTTCTACTTTGAAATATTAAACAACATGATCGATATCTTAAGACTATTATCAAAGTCTATATCTAATCTAACAATCAATCTTCATAGCAAACTTTTTTTACAAATCAACAGTATGGGATGTAACATTTACAATCAAAAATTTTATTCGAAATACTCTGCAAACAAACATTAGTATTCCATATATTAATCATTGTCATATTCGGAAGAGATTTGATTGGCTACAAGTTTTACTAATCGATTCATAAATATTTGCAGATTGCGCTAGTAATTTTTAATTTATTTTAATTGAAAAAATGGAATACTATTTAAAAAAATATTGAAAAAAATTTATTTGAATTATTTTTCTAAATCAAATATCATGTAATTATATGATTGGTTAAATACTAGATGTCTTTGTTGACTGACCTTGCGGAGGCGAATGAAACAAAGATGGCGATCTTTTTTCTCCGACTACACATGCCCTCTTTTGTCATTTATTCTTTGTCTTTCGATGAGTTCATCTCAATTACAATCTATATTTATCGATTAAAATATTTAAATCAATATAATTTGTTTCACGAAGATTTTTAATCGACAAAAATTCTTTGATAATTTAACTAAAGAAAAATATAATTTCTTTTTTTCAGATAATCTATTTTTTGTTTTTGTTTAATCTATTGTTAATTTTCATCGACCGCGTAAAGCTCATGCTGATCGCGTGTCATTTATCATCATGAGTAAAAAGTTAACAACATTTTCACCACTAAAACGACCATCTACTCGTTCATTATCATCAACAACAAAATCATCATCTCAACAAGATAAATATACATTTCAATCTGACGACGAAGATCATAATACAAAACCAACACTTATACGTAAATCGACTACACCAATTTTATCAAAACGTCCTCGAGGTCGCCCACCAAAATCTCTTAAACTTGAAGAAGATCGTACACGTACATCGACATCATCATCATCATCAAATAGTGAAAGTGAAGATAAAAAACGACCAGTTACACGACGTGGTTCAAGACTTGGTTCACAAACAAATACACCAACAATTAATCAAATACGTGAAAAAATTAAAATAAATTCTACTCCACCAATTCTTATCACACCTAAAAAACGTGGTCGAAAACCTAAAATGCTTTCGACAATAACACCAACGACAACAACTACAATGGCAACATCGGATGATCAACAAAAACATGAAACAGAAAATCTTATTCCATCATCATCATCAATCAAACGTCAATATAATAAAACAAATGAAAAAGATCTTATGCAATTTGGTTCACCTGAACAAGATGATTTTAGTGATGATTCAGTTGATTTTGTTTGGAAAGGTTCAAGTAAAATGTCAATTGAAATACTTAAACGTCGTATACCAAAAGATGAAGCACGTGAACATTATTCATCATCAACAGCAACATTACAATCCGATCCAACAGCACAACGTAAACGTGCTATTATACCACGTTTAACTAATTTTGATGCTCTATCAGGACAACCAGTTGAAAATTCAACAAACAATAATAATAATAACGATGATAATTTACCGAAGAAAAGTAATTCAGTTATTACATTAAATAATGCATTTCAAAATGATTTTGATTATTCTTATAATGATACGGGTACTAGAATGAGTACAACAATAACAACAAATGATGATAAACCACGTCCACGTGTTTATGCTGTTAAAAGTACAACAATGAAATCACGTCCACAGCAGCAGCAACAACAGCAATCGGATATTAAACGACCAAAATGGATGAATGATCAACAGGGAGGAGGAGGAGATGATGAAGAAGATGAACATATACAACCAACTGCTGATGAACCAGCTGATTATGATTATATTCCAAGAGGACAATATTCGGGTAGACGTCCAACTTATCGTGGACGTGCAACATATACTGGCCGACGTGGTACTGGTATGCGTGGTAGACCACCAGGTTCAAGACGACATTGGACGAATGATGATGATGATGATGATTATGATCAGTATGAAGAAAGTAATTCACGATACGGACCAAGAAAACAAATACCTTATCGACCATCAAGTAAGAAAAGAAAAGAAAAAAAGTTTTTTTTGATTTAATAATATAATTTTTTTTTTATCTTTGAAAAGGACCATATGATACAGCTGATGATGATTATGATGATAAAAGTCGTCGTATGAGTTTAACACAAGCTTATCGTCGTAATAATGATATTCGTCAACCAATTGGTGGTACTCGTCGTATTGGAATAAATAATGGAAATCATCCAATATATAAAGTAGAATATTTCAATTAAAAAAAATCATTTTAAGAAAAATATTTTTTTCTTTTAAGGATGATGATTATTATCAACAACAGCAACAACAACAATCACGAACAACAACAAATCGTCTTCCAACAACAAATTCAACATCAATTAATACTGGTAATACATTTGTTGCAAAAATCAATGATGCACAATTAAGTGAAGTAGCCAACCAATCACAAATCTTTTTTGTTAATATGCCACAACAAGATCAAAAAAATCAACAAGTCCTTTCGGTACTTGCCTCGGAACAACAACAAGTCTTACCAGTAGCCGTTGTTCAACAAGCTAAAGTTGAAACACCATCATCATCAACACAAAATAATCCAACAACATCACAAAATCAAACACTAGCATTTACAGTTAAATTACCAGTTGATACACCAAAACAAAAGAAAATTTTACCTAAACCATCATCAAATAATTCATCATCAATAAATTCAACAACAAATAAACCATTTGCATGGTCACGTCCACCAGGTCGTATACAATTAAATAATGATGAACAAACGATGGGTAAAGGTTTAACAATAACGCCAATTAATACAGATTTAGATACTATGGAAGCCGCACATGTTTTAGCAACAGCAGCTGATGTTACCATGGCTGCTGATGCACGTCGAAAAGCACAACAACATGATGATGATATGTCAATGATTGTTGATGAAACACCATCAAATATCGCTAATGAAGAAACTGTTCAATGTGAAGATGATGGACAAAAAAATCAATCACAACAAATAGGTACAATAACAGCAAATATTATTGATGAAAATGGTATTGAACATACGGTGATTCTATCAACAGAAGAAGCACAACAGTTACTTGGCTCACAAGGAGCTATTATTGTTGATGGTGGTATGTATTTGAACATTTAAAATTTTAAACGATCGAATCCAATCGACACATGCAACAGTTCAAGTCATAAATGTATAGAAAAATATTATCAAGTATCTAATAAACTCATTAGTAGGCTATAATAATTCGATTGTACTGATAAGATTTTGTATGATTTCTTGAGAATCTGATCGATATCTTTCGTCCACAAATATTTTGACGCATTAGTTCGATTATTACTGTAAGGCTTTCAAATCAAAATAACTGAAGTTTTGCATGTTTCGATCTAGACTTATTCTTAATGTTCAATAAATATGTCTTCTACTATAAGCTAATCTTTTGTTATTAAATTCATCATCAGTTATGTAAGATTAAACTTTATTGTATTATTTAGATGGACAGCCAATCTCAATTCAACAAGCACAACCTCAAACATTTCTTTCTCCATTTGCTCTTGATCAAGCTCAATTACAAGCATTACTTACACAAGCTGGTATCGATCCAAATACTCCATTAACAATAGAACAAATTGATCCTAATCAACAACAAGTTGCTACTTTATGTACATCACCTGGTGGCACACAATATACCGTCCTTACACAAGGTCATGGACAACAACAACAGCAACAACAATTTATTTTACAAACAGCACCAATTAATGAACCACCACCTTCACTTCCTCCTCCACCACCGCAACCCATTGCTCCAAAAGAAGATCATTCATCGCCACCAAAACGTCGAGCATTTGCAGTTAAATCAACAATGTCAACAACTGAATCATGTGATGATATGAATATGAATGAAAGACCACGTCGTAAAATCTTTGCTACAAAATCAACCGTTACACCAATTGGTAAATATTCAATTGAATAATTTGATTCAAATTTTTTCTTATCACTTTTTTTTCTTTAGAACAGATTGATGACGAAGGTATTACTGGTACTCGAGCTTATCATCGAAAATAACATTTATCTTTTTTTTTTGTTCCTTTTGTTTTGTTTTGTTTTTCTATGTACAAAATTGTCTTGTCATTGTTGTTTTAGTTTGCATCCTTCTACTATATCTCGTCTAACTCTAAGAGTATAAGCGAGTTATTCTATATGATATATTTAGTAGATTTCACTTATCCTTTTCTTTTCTTTTTCTCTTCATGTATCTATATACATTAGCCAGAAGCGTTCTTTTCGTGCAAGTGTGTGTGAGAGTGTGAGTTTGTGTACAGCGTGACTTTGTACATGTATGCAGAAGAAAAACAGACTATTGAAAAAAAAAAAGAATATATATTCTGTATTTACATGTTGCTTATGTTTTTGCATTATACTTCTTTGCTGCCTTTTTTTTCAGTATTATGTCAATGGTTGATGAGTTCGTATGAAAAAAAGATCGAGAGTTTGTTTTTTTCAGAAAAGAGAAGAATAAATCTTTTTTTTTTGTCATAAAGTAGAACAAAATGATGTACTATGACTCATGAATATACATTTATCTATTACATCAGGAAAGTATAGAAACATTGCATCAGATTAATAAGATGTATAAAAGTATATGTTTTCAACGTTTTGTCTTATCTTCAATCAAAAAACAAAGTGAGTCATATTTAAACAACTGTTTGAAGAAAAAGAAGAAGATAACAGATGTTAAGAATTCTGTTAAATAGTTAAGATGATTCTAGGTATTCATATGGTTAGTAGACAAGTAGGATGTATGGGATTAAATCATATATTGAAGTGTATTAAATATATAGAACACTCGAGACAATAAGTATCTAATGAATGGCATGTATCGAATAAAACTTGGATCTAGTTAAAAAAAGAAAAGAATCATTAAAAATTATGTTAGAGATGCAATTGACAACGATACTATCTCCGTTACTCTGAATATCTTTATATAGTATCTACAAAGTTATCACAGTATCTCATAGAAAATTTGTCAGAAACATTTATCCGAAGTTGATTGTATGAGATAAATATTATCCAAAGTAATACTGTATAAAACGCAGTATCTTTCAAAAATCCATCGTTTTTTTTCGATTGATTAGTTCAACAGAATACGGATATGAAAATTTTTGATCGATTTGAGACTAAGCCATCATACAAAAAGATCGCCGTCACAATTATCCATAAACTATATACAATATGATGAGACAAGAAAAGCCATATTACATTTAATGTGCTAAATTTCAAATAGTTCTCTATAGATCAAAATCAAAATTTTAATTTCCTGCATTTGTTACTTTAGTGAAAGTTTTTTTTGTAACCTATTAAGTTATATTTAAATGCTATAATAATAAATTTACGATCTGAGATATTGTTTGTCTTTGACATTTACAGAATAAATCAGAGGAAGAAAGGTCTATGAATCCAATACTTCCTTTTCATTATATAGTTGCCTTAAATAATATACCCATTAATGTAATCATTGAAAGAGCAATGATCATAATGTGTCCTTTTCTAGCCGGAGGTAGTTTATAAAATTTTTATTGAGCTCATATTTCATTAATGTTGAATTGAAAGAACTTTATTGTAATATGAATTGATTTGAAGAGATGTTTTATATTTCTCGAAACAATATTAAAATAAATCGTACACAAGAAATTTATTAGTAATTTTTCTATTTCTTTCATATCGAGACATTTGAATTTTATCTTATATCATTTTTAGTTTCAAATAATGCCATTACTTCGAACATTAATTACATTTTCTCTTGGTGTATATGCTGGAATATATACAAATCAAAATTATGATACTCCAAAAGTTCAATCACCAAAAGAATTATACGAACGTGCTAAAGAATACGTAGCCTTAAAGAAAAAATCATCTGATTAACTTTGTTTTGATACAGCAAAATAATATATATATAAAACTATTAAATGAAGCAAATAATGACAATAAAAATAATTATAATCTAGCAAGAGAAAATTCTTATATTCTTCTTTTGTTTGTATGTTTCTTTCAATGGTCGATTGTTGTCTATTGTTGAAAGTTAGAAAGAAAGAAAAAAAAAATTGATTGGATTCTTCTTTTTTTGACGGCTCGTCAGAGATTCATCTCTTATCCCTTCATCTATGAATATAGTGTGATGTGCGAGTGTGTGAATAAACTCCCGGAAACAGATTGCATTCTCTCTTTCTCTTCCCCCCCCCCTCCGCTCCTTCTTCTTTCTGCCTCGTGCGTATGAGTCCTTAGTTCGTTGTCTTTTGTCTGGGTTATAAGTGCAAACGGGGAACCAAGAACACGAGACTTTATTACTGTTGAGAAGATCTCGCTTTTCATATATATATATACATACAAGAAGAAAATGTCATAATGTATGGTTCATTCTATAGGCGCTATAGCTAGTTCGAGATCTCCCTGAAGAGAAAACGAGCACGGGCGCGAAAAAAAAAGGAAAAGATAGAAAAAGCTGCCGAGTCGTTAATAGTTTTTTCTTCTTCTTCTCTTTCTCCTTCTTCTTCTTTTTCTTTCATTCTCTTGTTGAATAAGTCACGATCGTGGCATTAGAAAGAAAAACCTATATAACGATAATAACAGCATGCTAGTAAGAAAAGACCAAACGTTCTATCCTATCACTCTCTTTTCTTCTTAGTATGTATGTAAAAAAAAAAAAAGAAAAAGAAAAAAAGAACAGGAGCGAGCAACGACGTAGGTCAAATGATCAAGGAATTGAATCATACTATATAGAGAAGAGAAAAAGCGAACGATGAGAAACATATATAGAGAATAATGGAGAAAGAAATAAAAACCATTTGTTGTGGCAATATAGCAAGATGCCATCAGCATATTTCTCATCGCCATCATACTTAGGCACATATATATATATACATATCTATCGAAAATGTGATTTTGTATTTTCTACTAACAGGTAAAAGAAAAAAGAAGACGACGACGATGCGATCCTTTTTTTGTTCTTTCTTTTGATATTTGTATATTCTGTATAATTAGATAGATGAATATACTATATGGGTTTCAGAATACGACTACCATGAACATGATGATGATGATAGTGACAAGAGGAAATAAAGAATATGATGATGATGATGAAGAAGAAGAAAGAAAAGAAACATCGTTTGATGTTGTTGTTGTTGTCGTTGTTATGGAATAATATTACTTCATTGCACACGGCAGTAAAGACAATTAGCTGTTCAATATTCGTCGGAAAAGAGAAGAAAAAGAAAGGAATTCCACTCTAATAAACATAAATAACTAGTCGATTTTATACTATTTTTTTCTTTTCAACTAATGTGTATACTAAGATAGACACAAATATCTGGATAATAGAAAATGAAAAATCTCTTATTACTCTTGTTAACAGTTAGTTGATGTAACATCATTTCTAAACTAGACAAGATAGATGGACAATGAAATTCTTTTTTTTGTATGAGTGAGAACGTGTTGTTCCGTACCGTGTTGTTTTATATTGCATGCATATGAAATAGCTTTTATTATATTGCCTAGAGAACACCCAAATGTCTCCAAGTTTTCATAATCGATGTTGGCTGACTGCTCGTCTGAGTGAGATTGACAATGGCACACACGGGACACAGTGTGACAGGATAGCAAATTGCGGAATGATAGGGAGCACCGTCTAAACAATAGACATCCAAATAAAAAAAAACGGAGAGAATTCTTGTTTATGTTAGTAGTGTGTGAAGAAGAGACGCTTAGAAAGAAAATACATCTAGAGTGTGACGTTCACTATATTTTTTAAAACGATATGGTAAAGTATGTCAGTTAATATTTTTCTTAACAGCCGAACGAGTGAAAGAAGAAAAAGGTATCAGGTGTAAAATTTATCATACCTGACATAAAATAGAAAGGATGTACACATGAGCAAGTGAATTCTTTCATCTCATTTTTCTTTTCTTTTCTTTTCTTCTTCTTTTTTTATATATTCATTAGAAAGAGAAAAAAGTAAATAGAAAGTAAAGTAATGTTGTAGTAATAATACTTAATTGGATGTTTATTTTTGTAGATAATCTCTCGTAAAAAAAATATATATGCTCGCATGCACCTATAGAAAATGTTGATTGTGTGATGAAAATTACTTTTCGATGACTTTTAATGTTCGATTAAACGCATACATTAGCTATAGAAGAGAAAGAGAAAGAGAGTAATGCTGCAGGCGGTGCGTGTATATGTTCCCTTTTCCTATTTTTATACTGTCGATTCACACGATAGATGTATTGGTTGGTGTGAATCGGAAATAAGACTTGTCGTGCCACTGTTCACTCATTGCTTTTTGAGCATCATTATTCGACGTAGGATGTAAAACATATTGTATGTTATAGCTTTTTAGTCCGACAAAAAAAAAGACTTTAATAATGATTTTGTTCATTTGAACGGTTTGTATATATATATATATTGAAGATAATTTTTTTTCTCCTTCTTGTTCACAGAAATTAGTGATGTAGATATCTTTTCATAGAATTATGTCTCGATTTCATTCTACAAACTATTGCGTTTTCTCTTGAGTAGAATTATCGTTCTCGTCGCTTTCTCTCCTTTCTCAAGAAAGACGGATGATGAGAGTGAACAAGGCACGAACGCGGCGAGCATAATGGAAGAGTGTGTGTGTGTGAGGCAAAAAAGGGGACGCTACATCCACGAGAGCGAAAGAAGAACATGTCAAAGAATTTGAAGGCTTGAGTAAGACGTCCACGATGAAGGCATCAGCGGTAGTGACTATAGTCTTAGTCTCTAGAGAATATCCAATGATCGCATTGCGTTTATAGTTTGTATATATACACACACATATATATATATCATGTTTCTCTTGTTATTGTTGTCATTTTTTCATGTATTCTTTTGGAAGTTATTGCTCTTTTTATTATACCTATTGGTAAATATTTCTATAACCTTTAACATCGATTAGTATTCAATCAATTTATGAGAATTGCTTGTTTATGTCCAGTTTTAAAAATTGTGAATAGAGAAGGAGGAGATAGAATGAGGAAGGGGAAATAGGCCCGGTGCTTATAATAGAATAATCACAAAGAAAGAGAGCATCAGGACGATCAAGCCTTTGTGTCGGAGAACGAGAGAAAACACTACGGTACCCTTCTTGTTCCTCTCTCTCTCTTTCTATCTTTCCGTGCAATGACGCGAAATGTTCGTTCATCGTCGTGTTCTTCGTTATAACAGCCCGTCAGTAGAACAGTGTATTTGCTGATAGAAAACAACGCTAGTAGTATAGACAGAAAAAAGGAGACTGAGAAAGAGAGAAAAAAAAAGGAAACCTAGTCGTCGTGGTAGCTGGAACCACTACAACTGGAATGAAAAAGAAACACAGAGAGAGGGAGAGAGAGAGAAAGGGAAAGAGCGCAAAAGAAATAATAATAATAATAATAATAATAGAGATGATAGAAGTAGAGGCAACATCAGCGGTAGTAGTGGCTACTAAAAAAAGAGAAAGAACTCGTTTCTACAATATATGACTCTCGTTGTGTGCAATAAGATCAACTGTATATATTATTATTAAAGCTTGATTTGATCATGATTAAATACATAATATTTTTATAAAAAAAAGATCGAGTATTCTATATATATATGTGTTTATTTGCTCATTTATTCTGTTGTTTTTTTCTGTTTTCTAGATAAGATATTTTATTGAAGACGATATAAAGATATAGAATAAAATATTGAGCGTTTTCGATGACATCGGTGCTTACAAATGGATGCTCAACAACAAGATCAACAATTACAAATCTACTTTGTCAAAAGTGTCGACGGTAGGAAATCTATATGATTAAATTAAATTATGTAACATTTTCTTGAAATTCTTCAAGATTATCAGCTATATTTAATAACTAAATCTTTAAGGCAATAATTATCTAAGTAGATTATTTTTCTTTTTATTTACAAAGGAAAAAAGATAATATTATGTCTTAATTAGATGTTAGGATTTTTATTAGTGACATCTATACATCCATATATAGAATCATATTTCTTTTGAAAATATGACAGATGTTGTTTTTTTGGTTTATGATCAAAAGTAATAAATTTTTATGTGTAATATTTCACGAATCTTGATTAAAATTTCTAAGAATCATTGAACAATTTCTTTCCGGATATTATCAGTATTAAATATCTATTAATTTATTCATGTGAAATTGAGTTACAAGTGTAATATTATATCTTTTAACATATTATAGGTGAAAATAAGAAGAGAATTTAAAGAAGTATTGATTAAGAAATTTGAACTTTAATTGATTATAGCAAAGACAGAAATAATGATGATAATAATAATTTATATAGTCAACTTTCACCAAAAATTCGTCCCCCATATCAACCCATGGAGTTATTCATATTTTCTCCGTATGTGTGGTAATCTCAAATGAATGTGATCATATTTCTGCGTTATAGAATATGATCTGTTTTACTCCTATAAATTAACCAGAAACGGTCATATATTGATTCTTTACCATTCCATTCCGTTCTTTTTTTTGCAAGATATTATTATTAAGATTGAGTAGAAATGTAAAAAAATCAGATAGATGAGTCAGTCTTATCTTAAGATTGGAATACAATCGATTGATTAATTTATATATTCTTATGAATTGATCTGTTCTTCTTCTAGATTAGCCATGCACAAGGTGGCACTGTGCTATGTCTGTGCTTCTCGTCACTGATGCTAGTGATGATGATATTAAAATTCCTAAACATGAGCATCTTTATCAACAAATAAAAGAACTTGAATATAAATTTACACCTATCGAATCTTCATTATCGATCGTTGGTAATCCCAAAAAAACTTATCATCGTCAGCGGCGTTATCGGCCGCAGCAATGTTTGGTGAAATATTTGTTCACTTACATGTTAACATTGCTTTTTCTAACCAATCATTTTCATTGGTCAATTATATTTTTCTCCTTATCTTCAATAAAATTCATGTCAACATACGCATCAACAACAGCAACACCACTTACTTCAAAACAATTACCGTCCATAATAAACGAGGACGAACAACAATGTTTATCAATAAAAACTTCCTATATCGATCGAATATGTTCGAAAACATGTCGTGCACGAAAAACTCCTTTCGAACAATTCGACAATTTCAATCGCGAATTATCATCCGAATCACATTTTTTACCATTTTGTTCAAATCATACATTAAATCATTCAATAAATCAAACATATTTATTCGACAATATAACAGAAAACGAATGTCGACAAATATTCAATCAATTAATAAAATTAGACGAAGAAGCACGAAAAGCTTCCGAACTTTTTGTTACTTATATGGAAGCTATAGATTCAGCATCAGACGAAAATCGTTATTCAATCATCATTGCCGATTGTCAAGTACGACTAATTCTTTTTTTTTCTTTTTAATAAATTTCTATTTTCTTTTTGTTCCGCTTTTAGCAAGCATATCGAACATGGACTTGTTCAGTAAATATTCCATATTACCATCGAAATCGTCGTATACCGCCTTGCCAAACGATCTGTGATGAAGTCGAGCGTGTTTGTCCCACATTTAGACCCAGTGATCGTGAACCATTATTTGCTGGACAACCATTGTTCTTTTGCAATGGTAATTCAATTTTTTTCTTTGATCTTATCAGGCTAAGACGTACATACAGGAAACAGTAATTTCCGTTATTGAAAATTTTTATTTTGATGCTTTCTATATCAGATCATTGACTAGTTTACAACAGATTCGAACAATACGAAAAAAAGAATTTTTTTACTAAATGTCTGACATATTGTTGACATATATATTATACTTAAAGTAATTAGTAGAACCTTGACGTTCTTATTGCTAAGAAAAGATTATTAAGTTTGTTTATGATTATTGTAGCTTTCATCATTAATATACTAGATTTCAATTAATAGATAGAATAAAAGCTTTTTGTTTTTGTTATTTTAATATTACCCTAAGATTTTTGACTATATATTATACAATAAAATACTTTATCTTTCGTTTAATTTTGTATGAAAATTTTTGCAATATGATTTATGATAGTTTTCCTTACGTCTTATATTACTTTTAATTATGACATTGACAATGAAATATTACATGTTATGAAGTTGATATAGTTATGATGAGTATGGAAAAGATAACAGTCTCATAAAATATGATTTTTTTTATGTGAAGAAACAAAAAAATGTACTCAATAAATATTTTATTTGTATATCTAGGTGGTATTGTGACAAACAGTAATTATGGTCATCGACCACATTGTTTTGACACATGTCATCTAGGTGATGGTTCGTCTCAACGTCATTCCGTCTCGTCATCATCAAATCAATCGTTATTGACAAAAATTGTCAAAGAACATGTGACTACACCGTTATGTTTTGAAATTGAACCGTTATTATCTTCTCCAACTGAACAATCTTTATTTGTCAATGATTCGATTACTAATTATACAAGTAATTCATCTATGTCTGCTTCAGCTGTATCCATCATATCGTCATCTTGTTCGTCCATTATTGTCAATATGATAACTTTTATCATCGTTCTTCTGTTAAAAACCTAACAAGAATAATAATGATGACGACAAAAAAAATTTATTATTTGTAGTTATAGATAGGCAATATATATGTCAATCATAATCGAGCTGGTTCTCGATCCAAGAAACAAAAAAAAAATATTATGGAAAGAGAATAGAACAATCGATCGTACGCAAATCAAGTTCATATATATATATATATGTGTGTGTGTTTTATTTCTATGTGTATTATTTTTTTTTTCTTCTTCTTCTCTTCATTCTCTTTCGTTCTTTATCTCCTTTCTTTTTTTGTACTATTGAAATGTTATACCATCATTGAATGGTCTATCATTTATAACTGTTGCTGCTGATAGATCTAGGAGAAGAGAGAAAAAACAAATGAACAAAAAAAAGAAAATATTAATTGACACTGTCATTATTGTCTTTAAGTTTTTTTATGCTGATGTTTATAGTATAAAATAGTATTAAACAATATGAAGAATGATTCTTTTTGTATAAAGAAAACAAATACTAAATTGCTGTCATCTATCGAAGTATAAAGAAAACTTGAAGAAAGACATTTTGGATAGGTTGACACTACACGACAATCATGTGGTTGTTTATTTGTTAAAACTATTTATAACGCCCATTCTTACTGGGAATTTTCCCTCTATTCTTCTATATATATATTCAATAATGCAATTATTTGCATCTCTTAAATTTCTGTATGATGACTTCAAAAATGAAGGCTGCAAATTTCAAAAGTTATCAATCAGTAATTACCCAAGCACAACTAGGCGATATGATACAGTTTAAACGAGGTTTATATAGTCATTGGGCAATTTATATTGGTAAATGAATTGTTTCTTTTTCTTTTAATAAAAAAATTATTTTAGGTAACGATGAGATAATTCATCAATGGGGTGCTAATGATGGTATTGAAGAATCAGTTGGTATCTCAGGAAATAAAATGACTATTTATGGGATACAATTCAACAAAGCTAAAATATGTAAATCAAAAATAATTGATGTTATGGTTCTTGGTGGCGATGTTCGCATAAATAATTTTCTTGATTCGAAACGAAAGTACGTTATTCATTGAATAAAAATTTTAGATTAGATATGTAATGTTAGACTATCAAACGAGAAAATATTTACTCTTTGAAATGAAGTTTGATAGCGATACTTGAGTTTTATAACTATGTCTAGGGTTTTTTTTCTATGATAACTAAAATATTTTTTCTTCCGTTTTATGAATATCGACAAGTTTTTTACTCTTATTTCAGACCGTTACCAATTCGACTAATTCTTGAAAGAGCTGAAAATGCTCTTGGTCGAATAGGATATAATTTACTTTATAACAATTGTGAACATTTTGCTACTGAATGTCGTTATGGTCAAGCAACTTCTAATCAAGTAAGATCAATTAGATCTTAAACATAAAATTAAATTTATGATTTTAGGTACAAGTCGCTGTTGGATCTACACTCGGACTTGGACTAATTCTCACAGGTGCTGCAATTTTTGGTGCTTATTTATTAAGTGATTCTTCACATGATGAAAAAGAAAAGAAGATAAAAAAAATTCAAATAAAATCATAAATTCATAGAGATATGTTTATTTCATAATCCTCTAATCAATAAAATATATATTCCATATGTACAAGAATAAATTATTGAGGAATACAATCTGTATACATAAACTCTCATGCTGAGATATGGATCTTTTTCTTTTAAACAATTGCGTTTAGTTGTTTATGCAACATTCTGAAGTGCTTACGTGTCTTTCTTCATCTTTACTTTGGCCACTTTATTCTTTGGTATTCTCTCTTGTTTTTTTTTATTTATATGCACTCTTAGAATCATTTTTTTGAATAATAAAAATAAAAATCGTATACTTTGCTATTAATAATCAAAGATTTAACTTTTTCAAATTTATAAATATCGTTTTTTGACTAACTAGTACGTTGTTAAAGTTTTTTCATCGATGACTATTTACTGTAAACGTTAGCTACATGTAAAAATTTGTTTTTTTCTTTTTACATTATATTTATAAAAGTGTCAATAGCAACATATTTTGCATTGCTTACTTTGTATGAATTTATAACTTTCGTGACGACATAAAAGAATAAAAAAATAAAAATGCTTTCTCTATATATTGTATTATAAGGTTACGCCACGAGCAATGTTCTTATCGCATCATCTATGTAGAAAGCAAGAAAAAAAAAGAATGAAATAAAAACATCAATGTGCAGGTAGTCAGCAGACGTATCAAGTGTATTGCGTCAGTCGCACACGAAACGACGATGACACAAAATAATGTTATTAATCTAGCTGACGACTATATTGTTATTTGGTTAGATAAAAATATCGAAGTGAATAAAAATAATCGAGATATTAAAACGTTAATACGACAAATAGTTCGAAGTCGTTTACAAACATTTGTTGAACCCGATCAATGTGTTGAACAAATATTCACAACCTTACAAGAAAAACGAATCATTTTTATTGTCTCAAATGAATTTGGTCCAGGTGTTGTACAAGCTATCCATGAATGTTCACAAATACAAACTATTTATATTTACTGTGGTTATCGACAACGAGCTGAACAATGGACACAACCATATACAAAAGTTGCTGGTATATTCACAGATAGAAAGACATTATTAAATAAAATTTGTGATGATATTAGTACACATGGACGAGATTCTGAATTACCAATGAGTGTATTTCATCTGGAAGAAAAACAAAATTCACTACAAAATCTAACTTCTGAAAGTGCAAATTTTATGTGGTATCAGTCAATACTTCATGTTATTCCATTAATGGCAAAGTATTGTAATTCTAAAACTGAAATGATTAGAGAATGTCGAGCAAAATATCATAATGATGCAACTGAACAAAAGAAAATCAATGATTTCGAACAAAATTATAAACCAGAAAAAGCATTATGGTGGTATACATATGATAGTTGTATATACCGATTGTTAAACACTGCTCTTCGAACACAAAATATTGAGATTATATTCAAATTCAGATTCTTTATTAATGATCTTCATAATCAAATTTCACAACTTTATCTGAAATATTTAGATTCACCTTCGTCTAGTACTAATCATAGTTTAACTGTTTATCGTGGTCAACGTATGAAGATCGATGAAATTCAGTTACTTAAAAGAAGTGTTAATCAACTTATTTCAATGAATAGTTTCTTAAGTGCTTCAACAATAAAATATTTAGCTGAAATCTTTGCAGATACAAGTGATCAATTAAATAAAGAATCACCATTACAATCTGTTTTATTTACTATTAATATTTATAATATGACGAAAGACACAACACCGTTTGCATTTATCCAGAATTTCTCATGTTGTCGTGATGAAGACGAAGTATTATTTTCCATTGGTGCCATTTTCAAAGTTGTATCAGTTGAAAAAGATAATAATACGTGGCATGTAAATTTACAATTATGTAGTCAACAAAATGAGTTTTGTCAAAATCTATTTAATTATATGAAAAAAGAGATTGGTTCAGATCCAAGTCCCATATCTTATGGCTGGTTTTTATATCGTATGAATGAATATGATAAAGTTGAACGTTATGCCAATATTCTTCTTGAAGAACTTCCAGAAAATGATAAAGAAATTGGAAATGTTTATAATCTACTTGGTCTCATGTATAAAGCAAAGAATCTTCTACAACAATCAATCGAAAGTTATACTAAAGCACTTGAAAGATATCGTCGTACTACTCTATATAGTAGTTCTCAAGCAATTAACACACATTATAATCTTGGCTTAGCTTATTTAGCATTAGGTGATAATGAAAAGGCCGATGAGCATCAAAAACAAGCTGAAGAAAAATTAAAAAATTTATTGAAACACCATCCAATGCTGACTCTCGCAACAGATAGTCTCAAGGCCAAAATCCATACAGCACAAGACCGTTATGACAGTGCTTTACAAATCTTTCAACGTGTTTTGAAGAAAAAAAATGAGATTTTAGCTGCAAGTCACCCGTCAATCGCAACAACTTTAAACGACATGGGTACTGTATATGAAAAATTGAGTAGTTACCAGAAGGCACTTGATTGCTTCAATCAAGCATTAGACATTTATAATAAAACGTTGCCATCGGATCATATCGATTTTGCAGTATGTTTTAAAAACAGAGGTCGTATTTTTGAAAAATTACAACAACCTGTACGTGCAAAACAAGAATATAAATTAGCATCGAACATTATGATGAATAACATACGAGATGAAGTTGATTCATAAGATTCAAAGCTTATAAAGAAATATATTTTTTTGTCTGTATATTTTTGTTACTTTATGTGTTGTAGTAATTTAAAAATAAAAACATACACAGTAATATTGATTAAATTTTTAATAGTTGTCTTGTATTTTGTCTGAATTTATTCTCAAGAGATGTTAGAAAAGTTTGATTAGATTTTTTTTCTACATAAAACAATAATTTTTATCATTGTATTTCTATCCGAGGAACACAAATATAATCCCACAAAGTAAATTTTCAAGATATGAAAACATGCATGCAAGTAATTATAAAAACTGAGTCTAGTTTGAAGTAGATATTACGAAAGTCATATAAAGACGAATGTTAAGTATATAATATTTAGAATATTTTGAAGTACATACATACGTATAGCTCAACATTTTATCAGAAATCTTTTACACAAATATTAGAATGACGACTAACGATAAGTCTGTCAGATCAGTTAATGATTATAAAAGGATAGTAACAAAATTATTCATGAAAGAACTCTCCGAACTTCGTATATTTTATATTCGAAGGTGAAGAGTGTCAGTCTTCATCTTTTTGTCATTAACGGCCTAGTCAAAAAAAAACGTTTACACACACACACACTCTTTAGATTGCCTGCAGTTGATAATGTAATATTTTTCTTTCTGTTCTAGACCATTTTCTTTTTTTATCGTGATGTAAAAACACAAAAGTAAGTAGTATGTATGCTTGCAAAACATACACACTCTTATATGTCAATTTATTGTTCTCATTTTCTCATTCACAAGTAAAGGAAAGAAAACAAATACACGTGAAATATATAATTCAGGTGAAATAAAACATTCATTATTCTTATTTTTTCTTGAAATGGCAGATAATAACGTTAATGGTATTGTTGAATATTCTGACTTCTTTTGGTTAGATACTACAATAGAAAATTCGAATCCAAATCGTGATACAAAATCACTTTTAAGACAAATAGCTCGAGGTCGATTAAAAACCTTTGGTGATCGTGATGAATGTGTTGATAGTATACTTGACAAATTGGATACAGAAAAAATATGCCTTATTATTTCGAGTTCAGTTGGTGAACGGGTAGTACCATTTATTCATGAGTGGCCACAAATACAAACTATTTATATTTACTGTAGTAATCGACAACGAGCTGAAGAATGGACACAACCATATACAAAAATTACTGGCATATTTACAGATAAAAAGACATTCTTAAATAAAATTTGCGATGATGCTGGTGCACATGGAAGAGATTCTGAACTACCAATGAGTGTATTTCATCTTGAAGAAAAACAAAATTCACTACAAAATCTAACTTCTGAAAGTGCAAATTTTATGTGGTATCAGTCAATACTTCACGTTATTCCATTAATGGCAAAGTATTGTAATTCCAAAACTGAAATGATTAGAGAATGTCGAGCAAAATATCATAATGATAAAATTGAAAAAAAGAAAATCAATGATTTCGAACAAAATTATAAACCAGAAAAAGCAGTATGGTGGTATACATATGATAGTTGTATATATGGATTATTGAATACGGCTCTTCGAACACAAAACACTGAAATTATATTTACATTTAGATTTTTTATTAATGATCTTCATAATCAAATTCTACAACTTTACAAACAATATTTAGAATCACATTCCTCTATTACTAATCATAAGTTAACTGTTTATCGTGGTCAACGTATGAAAATTAAGGAAATTCATTTACTGGAAAGAAGTGTAAAGGAACTTATTTCAATGAACAGTTTCTTAAGTGCTACAACAATAAAGGATTTAGCTGAAATCTTTGCAGATACAAGTGATCAATCAAATGAAGCATCACCATTACAATCTGTTTTATTTATTATTAATATTAGTAATATGACTAAAGATACAACACCGTTTGCATTTATTCAGAATTTCTCATGTTGTCGTGATGAAGAAGAAGTATTATTTTCGATTGGTGCCATTTTCAAAGTTGTATCAGTCATACAACATCAGAATAAATGGCATGTAAATTTAGAATTAAGTCGTCAACAAAATGAACTTTGTCAAAATTTATCTGAATATATGAAAAAGCAGACTGGTTCAGATCCAAGTCCCATATCTTTTGGTTGGTTTTTATATCGTATGAGTAAATTTGAAAAAGTCGAACGTTATGCAAATATTCTTCTTAAAGAACTTCCAGAAAATGATAAAGAAATTGGAAATGTTTATAATCTACTTGGTCTCATGTATAAAGCAATGAATCGTCCCGCTTTAGCTGTTGAATATTATAAAAAAGCAATTAACATTTTTGGTCAACATGGGCTTGGCAAAAGTTCTAATGTTATTGCGATACATTATAATGCTGGCTTAGCTTATTTAGAATTAGGTGATAATGAAAAGGCCGATGAGCATCAGAAACAAGCTGAAGGAAAATTAGTAAATTCATCAAAAGCACATGATCCATTACTCTTTGCTCAAACAGCTAGTCTTAAAGCAAAGATTCAAGCGGTGAATGGCGATTATACAAGTGCTCGTGAAAAGCTTGAAGAAGCTTTAGAAAAAAAAAGAATGAATTAGGAGCATATCATCCTTCAGTAGCATCTACATTAAATGAACTGGGTATCGTACATGAGCAAATGAATAATGATGAAAAAGCATTCGATTGTTTCAAAGAGGTATTGAAAATCTGTACCAAATGTTTGCCATCAGATATTTTAGAATTTGCTAAATATCATGCAAATATTGGTCGTATTTATTTTAAACGCCAAGAATACACACTTGCATTGGAACAATTTGAAATGGCATTAAAGACTTATAGAGATTTTACACGAGAGGACACTGAAGACACTGACTTGATAGAGAAGTGTATTACGGAAACAAGAAACCAAATTGATGGAATTAGAACGTAATCAAAAATAACTTTCTTCTTCGATTTTTCTATTCCAAAGTACCTGGATAATTATTTAAATGTAATGAACCAAATTTTTAAATTATTTTCATATCTCGCGAAACTAGTTTTTTGTATGTACAAAGTTGATTGAATTCATAAATAAATTCTATTGAATGAAATAAATAAAAATGACATGTATTCTTTTAATATCAGGAATATAATAACAAAAATAAAATATAATGAAAATGCGTAAGAAAAATTTTGAAAAACTGAAATAGTACTAATAATCGTTTATTAAAATCTACAGATTGTTTGAATTGAATCTAATTCGATTTCAGATGTTGCATAACTACGATGTTCATCATCTTCACTTTGATTAAATGTAAAAGAATCCGATCGACTTGTTGATGTCTTATTGACTTTTCCTTTCAATTTCGAGCTTTTTCTAGTTGAAGAAGTTGATGTATCTGAATCATCAGATTTATGACATAAATTACGAAGTTTTTTCCATAAATAAAAACCCCATCGATATACGGGCATAATGAAAAGTTTGATAATCAGAAAAGAAAAAGCAAATAATTCAATACATAATGATGTAAATAATAAACCATGAAAGATTAATTCAGGTGTACGAACAATTGGTTGTTGAATATTTTTAATATAAAATGGATGTTCATCAAGTATAACTTGAATAACTGTTAATGATGATGTATACCGTAAATAATTTCCAAATTCAACATAATAATCTTCATCCGAAAGATCGATTGTACTGAATGTTGGCATCCATAAACCTGAATATAAAGTTGAATCTGATTCACTAAGTCCTTGTGTCATATTAATATTTCTAATAAATGTAATTGGAATTGAAGTCAACCTACCAATAGCTTGATTAGATGTTGTATAAAATTCGCAAAAATCTAGTTCACGTAATGTATAACTTGTACTAATACGACCCTGTCCTCGAATACATAAACGAATGCCACCAATCCAATAAGGACCGGTCATATTAATCTGTACAGTTGTATCATGTTTTGGTAATGGAATTGTAACTGATGTTGTAGCATCGATTATCGATTGTTGACAATCCATGGATAGAGGAACATATTTTGAATTACGAAGATTTTCTTGTGTAGTAACAGAATTACATGTAAATCCAGTATTTATTAGTTCAATTGTTAGATTAAAAGTTTGTTGATCAAGAAGATCAAATATAGGTTGTGCTTCTTGTGATTTTGGAATAGTAAGAAGTTGAAGACCAGTAGAAAATTGAGAATTAACTAATGTTTCATCACAAGCGAATGTAGCTGGTTCAAGGACTTCTTCAATTGGATAACGTCGTATAAATGATACGGAAAACCAATAGGCAAATGAAACAAGAACAAGAATAGCTAATGTTGCTAAACCACCCATCCACATTTCACCTTCACCAATAATATCTGTTTGTTTAAAAATTTTCTTCGCCTTTTTACCGCATTCTATAAACGCTTTACATTTAAGTGCATGAGTTATAGACATAAATATTAAGACTAAAATGCATAAAGCAACAACAACACCTGTCCAAAGAATAGGAGAAATAAGTAAACAATGTGGATTTGAACTAATTTGAAAGACATTTTTAACAAGAAGATTTTCAACATCTGTTGTATCGCCTGTTTCAGGATAGGCAAGTGATTGACTGTAAGAATGTACTGTACTTAAATCAATATCAGTTAATGAAGCAAGTGGACAAAATGAATTCGAAGAATCATTAGAACATGGTATGCATTGAGTAATTCCTGATGTAAGTGTACCCGGATTTTGTGTATTTGGAGGACAGATTTGACAAGGACCTAGACTTGTAAGATTTTTATACGTTCCACCGATACATAGTTTTGGTTGATAATAAAATACGAAAACACGATCGGTTGTATCAATCCATCTTGAAGCATATCCAGCAGGTGCATTAGGAATAATTAAAATATCAGCATTGCTAGTAAGTATAGCCATATTACCTTTACTAGTTATACTAAATCGAGCAAATGATGGACGTAATAAACGGCTACCTAATATTTGTTGATTATTAGGAAAACTAAAGATAGGAGAAGCTGTTGTTATTGAACGTTCATCATAAAAAAATATTTGTGTTGTAGACCAACTTGTTTCATATGGATCTTCAACTAATATAGCAATTGTTGTATCATCAGCCCAATCTACAATACGACCAACTGAAGTTGAGTCAATAGAAGATAATGTATTTATACGACTAATATTTAATGATGTTCCTAGATTATAAAGTACGGTAACTGTTGCTATACGAGGCACTCCAACAATTACTTTGTTACCACGAATACTAACTGATAATTCATAAGATGCTAGATATGAAACAACATCTCCTGGTATTAAAAATGTTGTTTCAGTCGTCACTTGTACGCAAGATGCATTTTTAAATGTCATAAGATCAATTAAACATGCATATGTTTCATAATCTTGTTTATATGCAATTGTATATTCATAACCAGCAACTACTGCCCATGTATCTGCTGCATCCAAAGCATGAGGTATAAAACCTTGACCTGGCCACATAGATTGTGTAGTAGTATTTACAATCAATTGATTTGCATATATGTCTAATTTAAATGCAAATGTACTGGTAAATCCATAAGCATAAGTACCATTTGTATCAACACCAATTAAAAAATATTCTTGATGAGATCCTGGTGCAGCCATATCCGTACATTGATATTTATAGACACATGTTGAATTTATAGATGCAATAGTACCAATACAAACATAAGGAGTCATTGTTGACATACGTTCCGCAGCAAAAACAAACATAAATTGTTCTTGAATAGTACTATTTTTAGCAATACCAACAACAGCTACACTATGAACAAAACGATCCGTTGTATTATATCTCATATTACATCGTATAGATCCACCGGCAGTAGCATTTCTGTATGGATGCATAAGAACGGCAAAATTCGAAAAAGTATTCGATGCCGAGACAAACATATCATCATTAACAGACATTTTTGTACCCGATGCTACATTACTCAAATCATATTGACCCAATGATATATGATAAGAAATAAAAAGAAGAAATACAATATAAATAAACATTTCTATCTAAAACAAAATACATATATAACAAGAATATTATATCCTGGAAGAAAGACTACTAATCGTTATTGATTAATAAAATACACATACTGACAAACATTATATATTAGCTTCTATGAGATTTTCAAACACCGAAAAATAATAAATTAAGGACATTTATCAATCACTCGTATAAATCAATGAACTTGTTTCGATAGAACTGTTTATTTATTTGAATCAGTGGCGGATCTAGGATTTTGGAAGGAGATGGGGCGATATCTGGGGAGGGAGAGGGCCTTTTTGGTTAAAAGCCATTTTTTGAGTCCAACCGAACTAGTGTGAACCTATTTTTTCGTTCATTTCTGCTGTAAAAACAAAAAAAAAACAATTCGGAAGGGGGGAGGGCGATCGGTCCCCCCCCCTAAGTCCGCCACTGATTTGAATAGTATCATATAAACTTTGCCTTTTTTTATTCAAGATAGTATTGAATCGGTATTTTGTATTGATAAATGTTTAATCATTTACTAATTACAATCATGATTTAATCAATTCTATTCAATAGTCTTGGATTTTATCTTCTGGAAAACCTAACGTATGATTGAATAATTGATGTCTTATTATATTTGCTTAATTTTCTTCTGAAAAAAATAGCTCTAAGGCTTCCTACTTTATTCAAAATGTTTATTTTTAGAACAATATTTAACTCACATAAAAATTGAATTTTTTCAGTACTTCATATAAAATAGATTTGTATTCATTGAACATGAGAAGAAATTCGATTAATGAATACAAAACATTTTTATGCTTCTCATGCGATACACAAAAAGAAATAATTAAATGTAAATATAAAATCTTAAGATCCGTGAATATTTTTAATTGAATCGGTAATAATAATTCTTTGTATTGATTATTCATTATATTTATTCCTTTTTTAAATCGACAAAATAAACTTGACTCGATACAGATGTACTGATTTTATATCTTAGTACGTTCTAATAATGTTTAAATAAATCAACAACTGTCAGTTTCAAACTATTCTCCATGGAAATGCATATACACAACTTTCTTCTACTGACATTTATAATTCTATCTTTACACTTAAATCTACTTCTCATCGATATGACTTCCTGTGATGGACAGATTCGTTAATGGTAAAAAAGCCATTTTTAGATTCATAATCAAATAAAAAGAACGGGCATTTTAACCCAATAACAAGTTAATTGCTGAAATTTGGTGCTTCCAAAATATGTTTACACATTAAAATATGTATTTTTTTCTACGGATTAAAACATTAACACTTTTTTTTTCGTTTATATCAGTAGACAAAACTTTTTCTCATTGATGAACAATATAAGGTAAATTTTTTATACGAAGATTCATTTCTACTGTAATGTTAATACGTTATTCATATTGACATAATATGTATCACGTAAAAAGAACTTATAACTATCCTAATAACAATTTGTACTCGAGACTACTTATAAATTGAAGTTCATACAACTTTTAAACACGTACGACCTAAGAAATGATCATTATGTAGGCCATTAAAATAAGTAACTGCGGGGTGTTCTCAAAGTCATGATCACTTAAGAACTTCATTTTTTTTCTTCCGTATTAACAGAATAATATTAATAATTTTTTTATTTTATAGAGAATAGTACGTTTTTATCGCTTACGGGTCAAGTTTATAAGTACTGCCTCAAATGTTTTACAATTTCCAAGAAAAATCTCTTTTCTTGATTAATTTGATTTTCGACTGTTGTTTTGAGATATCCCGACATAAAGAAGTAAAATAGAGTGAACGAGAAGCCTATGATAATGATCCATCTGTTGTTAGGTCTTTCGAAGACAGCCCATGTTGGGATTAACGATGTCTTTAACATTAGATGGATCACTATCATAGGCTCCTCGTTTCCTTGATTTAATACTATTCTCTTCTATAAAATAAGAATAATACTTTCCTAATAAGAAAGAGAAATGAACCCCCTAAATGATCATGACCTATACATCTTTCATACGTTATATCTTACCTGTTTGAACTTCATTTCACCATAGAAAATATTTGCTAATAAAACGAAACGGTATCACTTCTGGATATTATTCGTAAACAAAATACATTTTTATACTTGGTTTTGTCAAGTATTTATATCGAAAAAAATACACTGTATTTCGAAAGATAGGAAAAAGCTTTTAGACTTGTACAGCAACAGCCACTGACGTCATATGTTTTTATTTATATATATTTTTAAGTATTGCTGACTCAGGAAATTGGATTAAGCATATCTTTTATATTCAATAATATCCAATTTTTATTATTTTGTTTTTGTTAACATTATTTAAACAAAATATTACAGGTCAAATGACTAATATTTTCATTGTGAATAATAACAAAATATATCATACAATTGATCTGTAATTTATGAATTGTTCAATTAGAAAATTCCAGCGATGTTTTCATGACTATAATTTATCTATTATTTAAATAAATCACACATCTATTATGCCGTAAGATCATAATATATTAATTTTCTCATATGTTTCTGACAAAATTAAGGTAGTAGACCAGAAAGTAAGTTAAAAAAGCATAATTACCCCTTGAATACTTCAATCAACGGGACAAAATCCCTGGATTGATCTTCATAAATTAAAAAAAAATAAGAATTCTTTTTTTAATTGATTAGCGGTTTTATATAATTATCAAAATCGGATAAAAAACAAATTTTTAATTTACATTCATACTCATTTTCAAGTACAGGTAAAAATATAAATACCCATTGTGGCTTCTATAAATACTAATTAATTTTCAGCCATATTAACAAAACTTAAGAATTCTCATTTCCCATTTGGATATCGACTATCATCATAGACAATTATAAACATGATAAGAATTTCTTTGTCAATCCATTAAATACTCTGATATCAATGTATTGATTCTCAACATGAATTTATCCGATATATATATATACATAATCAATCAGATAAGCTCTATCATACATAGAATGCACTATATATATATATTTTTGTCTATTCTGAACAAATGACTCAAATATATATTCATGTTTATCTTACAATAATTTGAGTCATAAAAATATTCTTAATTCTCAATATTGACTCCAGAGAATAATTTCATTCTTTTTCTTTTATATTCATACAATCATGGAAATGTCAATTTCTTTTTTTCTGTTTTTATATAATCCCATCTAACCCTACACACACTCTATATAACATTCTCTTTCATCAATATTTTTCAATAAAGAATCATTTTCTTTTTTTCTTCTAACAAAAAAATTACTATGACAATAATAATCTTGTTTTCTATTGGTTGATAAATTCTACATTAACCATGTTCTTTAGCCTTCATGATGATTATAATTTGCCCTATCTTTTGTTTATTTCTCATCGCGTCATTCATAAAACATTAAAACAGCTGTTTATTTATGTACCTTGAAATCTTTATCCTTCTTTCTAACTTGACTTTAAACGTAATGTTATTTTTCCTTTAGATATTTATTTGTGACATATATATATAAAACTATATAATGTTTACTTCATCTGACCCGAATTTACCTGATTTGGATTTTGAACTTGTTGATGAAAGACAACAAAATATGTATTTAAATGAATCAATGATCAAGGATATTTTATCGTCACCAACATCAACATACAGAATTGTTAAACCAACGTAGGAGAAGAAAAAAGAACAATTTGTTCTTTTTTTCGTTTAAGTCAATACCGTTTTTTTTTCTTTATTATTATTTAGAAACACAAATAAACGTAATATATCAAATCAACTACGCAGACAATTAGTAAATTTTATTAGAAAAATAAAAACAAAAAAATTTATTTGTATTTATTAGACTGATGAAAGTCCACATAAACAACGAACACCACCAAATTCAACTGGTACAAGTTTATCACCACATTCATCATCATTTTTAACTCGAGATACAAATCCAATACGAATAACGAATGCACCAAATCAAATGCGAATGTCATCACCAGCAACTGCAAAACAATTAGATTCAGTTACTTTATTACTTAAACAAACACTTGCACCGGCATCAATGATTCAAGTAATTTTTTGAGAAAAAAAATGGTTTTTTTTATTTTATTTCTATTAGACTGTTCAAACACGTCTTGAAAATCCAACAAAATATCATTTAGAACAAATAAGTCGAAAACAGACTTTAGTTGCTGATGACCCTCCTTCAGTAAATCCATCGATTGTATGTAGAAATAATAATATTATTTACAAAATATAATAAATATTTTTATTTTAGTTACCACAAGATGAATCTTCTCCAGACAGTGAAATAACTTCTGAAGTAATTTTGTTTTTTAAATCAAAATTTTATTTTATTTTATTCATATAGATGGATGATCAATTGAATGATGATGCAACATGTGGTAGTGTTGATAGTAATACTCGTGGAATCAGTATAACACCTCGAGTAAAAATTCTAAAAAAAGTTTTGCTAATTTAAAAATTTCTATTTTTTTTTCTTTAGTTATCAACAACATTAACTGGTGAGCATGCTGGTTCAGTATTTTTATCATCATCATTATCAAAAGATGGCCTTGATAGTAGCAGTCGACATTCATCATCATGTCCAACTAATATACTTAGTGCTAAAGCAAAAATTGGTTTACCATTAACAGAAGATGAAATGCGGCTTGTGTTACGTGATCGTCAAAAGAAAGATAATCATAATATGAGTAAGAAGAAAAACAAAATTGATAATTAAAAAAATCTTTTTTTTAATCTTTTAGTTGAACGTCGTCGTCGATTTAATATAAATGATCGTATCAAAGAACTTGGTACTTTATTACCAAAAGGCGCTGAATTGTAAGTGTTAATTAAACAAAGAAAAATTTGAGAATTTATTTTATCATCTTATACAAACTTGCTTGTTGAGACTCTTCTTATCTTCATAGAGATCGGATATTCTCTTTTTATAAGAAATCAGATGGTAACTATCAGAATAACCTAAAACAAAAAAAAACGTGATACTGCTATATCTGTAGATGTTTACTCAAGTGTTTTATATATAATATCTTTTAATAAGATGTCATTCTTATTGAATATGAAACAAAAAAAAGATCAAACATTGCAAATGAAATGTTATGCGTTCAATTAATTAGCTCTTATGTTTTGTTTAAAACTAGACAAAGAAAATGCACTATATTTAACCTTTGATATGTAGATCATAAATAAGATTAGAATTTAATCTATAAATATCATTGAGCAATAATTAATGAATATATTATTTTTCATTTAATAGTTTAAACAGATTATTTCTAAGCGGGGATTTAGATATTTATTTTGCTGATTAAAAAATGAATTTTAATTAACATATTAAAACCAAATTCTAATAAAATAATTCGATTAAAAAACATAAATTTTGTTTTTCATTCAAGGGATGCAAAACAAAATAAAGGTACAATATTACGTGCATCAGTTGATTATATTAAAATTTTACGTCGTCAATATGATAACGCATCATTTATCGATGAAAAATGTCAAAGACTTACAGAACAAAATTTGTCATTACAAGAACGAATCAGAGTTTGTCAAATGTTTTTTTTTCATTGAAATTTTTTATTAATTAATTTTATTTAGGAATTAGAAAGAAAATGTGTATCAAATGGTATTCCAATAAATTCGTCTTCATTATTAACATCAATAAAAAGTTCGCCAGCTATTGCAGTTGTTAATTCAAATATTGTTAAACAAGAACCATCATCATTATCATCATCATTAAATAATAATACTTCATTAGTACCACCACCAACACCAATATTTTCAGCATTTGATTCACTTCCACCACTTGATTCACTTTCAGTATTTGGTTTTGCTGATGAAGATAGTAATGATACAAATAGTGCAGTTGGAAATACATCAACTGATCCACTTTCACCACTTACGCACGATCCATTTTTATCTTCCGCTTCATTTGGTTTCGACAATGAAATGGATATTGGAGGTTTTACTTAATTATTCGTCCCATATGCTCAACCACCTCTTTCTACCTTTCTCTCTCTCTCTCTTTTTTGTACAGATGTTTAATGCTTTTAAAAAGAGAACAGCTTGCTGCTACTAGAAAACAGTACTTCTGTGAATATATATATTTGGTGCTAGCAAGCATCATATTATGTTCTTTTTTTTAACATTATGCATCTCCACACACATCTACCTCATCCGTGTGATATGCATATATACCGTAAAAAATGTATTTGTTTGTATTATTATTATTATTATTATTATCATTATTACTACTATTATTATTATTCAAGTGTGTTTTGTATAGTGTATATTTTTTATGTGTATATATATATATATATATAGATGTATATGATTGAACAGTGGTGTTGTCTTTATCTATTTATCCTAATTATTATACTGTGAAAAAGAAATAAAACACTCTGTGCATGCATTGATATTAGATACTTAAATAAACATTTTATAATTTTAAATAGATGAAAATTCTTTTCTTTTTTTCTTTTTTTTTAAAGTACGTGATAATCAGATAATTGGTATTGATCTTTGAAATCAAATATCTGAATGTTTAGTTTAACAATTCTTTGATTTAATATTTTTCTAAAACATCAATCGAGAGTTATCTTATCTGATTATTCAATTAGATTTGTCCTCAGGATATATTCATTATCTATAGACAATTTCATTAACTCTACCTCTATTCTTTCATTGATCAATACGAATGCTCTTTATACTTTTATTACCATGCAAACAAGTCTTTTCCTGATCGTAGAATCGAGTGGATTTGATTAGCTCTTCAATCATTCTTCAAAGATCAAGACTCTATTAATAAAAGAAAATTTTCTGATCAAATATTAATTTATCTATCAAAGGGCTAGAAGAAAACAAATATTCTTTTTCATATGAACCTGTTGCTTGCACTATACACTATGTTTTATTATTAATAAATGAAAAGCGCGACATCTGGTCATTCAATGTATCAGATGGTACAATTCTACTTCTTCTCGAGAGATCATCGAAAATGCTGCTTCATTTTCAATCAATGTCGAACTAGTCTATGACAACTTGTAAATATTATATAGATTTTATTAATCAAATAATTTTCGTTCAAGTGTTTACATTGAATATATCATAGCACCGATATAATTTAATATTTACAATTTGATTAAAAAAAAATGTATCGTCTTTTCATGACAGAAATACAAAATCCTACAGTAGAATTCCGATTGATCTATTAGTTTTAATTCTACGTCATTCGAATTTATTATCACAAAAGAATAATAAATAAATACACACATAATATATATTCAAAGAAAACTTAAATAAATGTATTTGTTGGTGAACCTTTTACAGCAAGCATTGATGAGTTTGTCATTTCATAAAATGGTTTACCAGAATTTTTTGTTGTTTGTCGAACGAATGATTTTGGTTCGATGTAATGTCCTATTTGTGCTAGATCAATAAATTGTCTACTGGATTGTGGAGATGAAGGAAGAAAATTTTTTCCTTGATATGATATAGATGGATCACTACATGTTGAAGATTCTTCAGATGATAAAGTTTCAGAGGATGAAACTAATGAAAATATATTACGAGTTGATGGAATATTTGGATATCGATGAATATCTAATGTAACTGAATGTTTTAAATGTCTGAAAAAAAAATTTGCACGGTGAATTTTTTGATGAGATAAATATTTTTTCTAATTACTTTATTATATTTGATACAGTTCGTTGTTGAGCACGTGATACATTTTGACCGTTAATTTTAACAATATAATCACCTGATTTAAGTCCACAAGAAGCAGCTGGACTATTTTCACTAACTTTGCCAATAAATGTTGGGCTATCACCAACAACAGTAAAACCAAATGAATCATTTATACCACGTGAAATTAGAAACTAAAGAAATGATAGATGTTTACTAATAAGAAAATTTATGATTTTGATCGAAGAATCTATAAGGAGGATATGTAAATGCGTAATAACCTAATACAGGGATGGAATTATTATGATTTGACCAATTAAGTATCTCTATCGTATCCGATGATGATTTATAGTATAACAAGAATAGAATACCGTAAGATTAGTAAACAGCTATTAGAGCAAATAATATTGTGACATTTAGATGACATCTCAAGAGAAAATGACGTTCTTTGCGTCGAATTTGCATTGTGACTATTTTTAGATTAACAAATTTCGGTTACATACATAAGACCGACCTCTGTAAAAGGACATCGACACGAATATACAATATAAAAACTTGAATTCACTTGAAAATCAGATACGAATAGAGAAGCTTCAAAGTCAATCTATGTGTTCGGGGCTATTGAAAATTAACTTTTCATATCTTTAAAGTACAAATAATAAAGTTACAACCTCGAAAGCTGTCAATACTATCTACAACCTCTTAAACTATCCGATAGTTTAATCCTTTAACGGGAGACTTTTGGATGAGCAAGTTTTTCGCTCAGAACGATATCTTTAATGCAGATTATTACGGTATGGGTGGGTGTGGGTGTGGGTTTTGCCATGTAATCTACACTCATACCTACACCCTCATAGATATATTCAGTCTATGCAATATCATAGTGTTTTATATCAAAATAATTGTTCTCACTTCACCGTAACCGTATGATCAAAAAGAAAAAAAAGTGGTACATATATGTCCCACCGCCTGTTAAAGAGTTAATAGGATTACACTATGAAATACGTTTAATATTTACGATAATCCATTGACCGATATACGAATATCTCAATTTAAACTTTTATAATCAGTCCTAATATCTGCACTATACTTTTCACCAATCTACATACTATAATGAATAACATACCCGATATTCTTCTAAATCTGCAATATCTCGATTTATTTTTGTGACTTGTTTATCTTGTTGATTTAATACTTGTTTATGACGTAATTCTCCAATATCTTCTTGTAATAAATAAAACCATCCATGAATCTTTAATAAAAACAAAATATAAATATTCGAGAAAAAAACGAAATTTCAATCTAATTACATTTTGTTTTTTTAATGTATTTCGTATTCCAAATGATAAACAACCTTGTAATATCATTTGATTTGTTTCTTGTTTATAATTATATATAGAAAAACATAAACGTTTATGTATATCATCATCATTTATTTCAAATGTAAATTTTTCATTAAAAATTCCTCGACCATTTGTATAAGGTATAGTACGAGTATGACATTCTAACGGATGTCGATCAGGTATAAATGTTATTTTAACAAGAATATTTGATATATATGATGTTATACCTTTAACTTGTAAAACTAAAATAATAATAAATATTTTGAAGAAATCTTTTTTTTTTCTATAAGAATTTACTTTTTAATGTTAAATGATTGTTCGATGTTGATAGATTTAATTGAATAATTCCTGTTGTTAGTCGTTTTTGTACATTCATGGTTAAATATTTTTATGAATGTAATCTCTTAGAAGTGTATGATCCATTATGTTTGTAAAGAAAATCGATAATGATCGTGTGAGAAAAGCCAACACACACTTTATAAAAGAAAAAAGAGAATAACAAAATTCTTCTGCTTCTTCTTTGTTTTTGTTATTTCTCACCTTACTTATCCAATCTAAAAAGAAGAAGAAGAAGTTTTAATAAACACTCACTATTATGATTCGCTAATATGAAATGAGAAAAGAAAAACGCGAATTGAACTTCATTCTTTCGGTCAATGAATAATAATATAGCCAATAGTGTATATCTATTTTGTACATATGCAAATGAAGTGAAGAATGTTTATATAATATATAATGATGGGTGAAGTGGATGGAGAAGATGGAATTTTAACAGACATTTGTTCATGAAAAATGAATTTTCTCACGGATAATAATATGAACAAAAAGTGATAATTATACCAATGATAGATATGATTAGGAAAAAAATAAACAGATACGTTCCGTTAATTGATGATGGAATCAAAGAATATATGCACGATATGGAATTGAAGAATATACATATTACCGCATGATAGAATATATGTATTCCCTGCTGAGAATGAAATTAAAAGCATGTTATCATATGGATATGATAATAAATACCCTGAGTGTAAAAAGTTGGAAATTATCTCAGTGAAAAATATGGACAGTTATCTTTTCAGTTCGAAATTTATCATGTAGGAATAAAATACTTTTGTTACACAGTAAAGCAAAATTGTAACTGAACGTTTTCATTTCTATTAATAAATTGATTTTATCTTCATTTAAGACATGATTATAATGAGCAATTGAATTAACTTTTGACCGTTCTCTTTTGAAAGTGAATTATTACAAGGTTTCATCAAAATAAGATCAAGCTGTTTGCCGCTCTTTAGATTATCGGATGCTTTTATATGGATTCAAGGTGAAATCATAGTGTGCGTTGTATTGGAATAGGTCGATGAATGAAACGGATGTTAGCTTCCCGTATTTCTTTCAGAGAATTTTTATAGGAAATATGAATCTATATAATGCCGTTTAAGACTGCATTCTATACAATTGTATTTATTTTGACTGAATAACTCTATCGTAGAGTATGTAAAACACGGCATATATAAATGCCGATCAATTGTACTTGTTTTTTGTTATTGTTTATTTATTTTTATTTGAAGAATATTATGATACTAAATAGGAACAAACCTTTGATGTATTTAACTTAACTCTCGAGATAATGCACGTTTAAAATATGTTGTTTGATGTTATAAATGAAATACTTTGCTATCACTTTTTTTAATTAATATCACTAGCAAAACATACGATTCGTGAAGTGAAGAGATTACTCATTCTTTAATTATAAGAGCATTTCCTTAGTGAAACAAAGATAACGAATTGTCGTCATTTGATTAGAAGACATGATTGATTTAAACACAAAAAAAACAAATAGAGCAAATTGAAAAGTATTATATAAACAGCATAAATCGTGCATTAAACTATTTAAAGTTTACTGAGTAGACGTACAACAATTGCCAGTTGTGTAAACCAGTAACTAGTTCTGTTTTTTGTCTAAATGAAAAATACAGAACAATCTTCGGGAAAGAGACATAACGCATCAACGTTTTTTTTACGGTTTCCCTGAGAAGATGTTCGTCATGACTTCCCGACATATAAAACATACACAATCTTCGGAATGATAAAGATTTAAAGCAAGCAGGGTGTTAGAGTCGCTGTGGGTGTGAGCGTATAAGTCATTCTTCTTTCATAGTACACACCCACACCCTCAAGACTTCCTGAAAATACTTTACATACTGTTCAGCATTTCGTTCCGATTTACCTGTATTTTTTTAAGCTATGGTCCCCCTGATCAACATGTTTTACGGACTCCCGGTAAAAAAAAGTCGAATTCGAATACCTGGACAAATTACCAGGTGTTTGTGACACCTAGTACGTTTTGTCTTTGTCCCCAATCTTCACAATTGTAGAAAAAACAGCTGATGTAGAGAATTTATTTTGTTTAATGTTCGAAGACTTTTATGTTGATTGTTCTTCTTGCATAGTAGAATCAAATGAAATTTTATTATTTTTGGTATCAGGACTTAACTTTCATTATAAAGAATTTTCTTGAAATTTCAAAGAGAAAAACTAGATCAATTAGAGTGTTTTATGTTTATTAGTTTTTTTTTCTTGACTAATTATATCATCTTTATGTTATTTTTGTTAATTTTTTTCTTCTCGTGTGAGACTGAACTGAAAAACGAACGTACTCACAACATCTGAATATAATAGACCGGATATGATACAGAATGTACGGTAGGACAAAATAATGAAAGAAACTAAAGGTCATCATTGAATATAACTGTATGAGTCGAACAGAAAACAAAAAAGTTATAATTCGCGTGTTTGACAAATATAGAATCTCTCGACAAATAAAAAAAAATGAAGCAGAACATGCAAACACACACAACAGTAGATAATTTAGTCTAGATTTTTTAGTGGATTTGTATTTAATCAACTTCCATTGATGATTGAGGTTCAGTTGATTGTGGATTTTGATTTCCTGAAGCTGGAGGTGGTTGTTGTTGAGGTGGAGCTTGTTGTTGTTGTTGTTGTTGTTGATTATTGGCTTGTTGTTTTGAAGCATCTTCTTTAGGAAGTTCAACTTTGGGTTTTGCTTTATTTAAGATTGCCCAACATTCTCTTTCAAGTGACTAAAAAAGAAATTTAGTATCGAAATTAAATTAGACACATAACATAAGCTGTTAGTTAAGAATTAATTTTCAGACATAAGCAAACCATAAACAGCTGCGGGCGCAGGCTCGATCTGCACCCTATAAGAAATACGCTATTAAAACAAACCGGATCTGACGTTAAACTTCAATATAGGCCCGGACGCTCAGTGAATAATGTTTAAAACTATAGATTTGTTTCAATAATCAACATATTAGAATTTGTGAATTAAGAGAAGATTTAATATACAACGAGATATATTTTACTCTACTGTTCTATGCGAGATAACATTAGATCAGTCGCATACCTACCCTGTTTTAATACTCCATACTATTATTTTTGAACTATCATTCAATGAAAATGATTGGAATTATACTTGGATTTTCTTTCCAGTCAAAATCAATCCTATTATCTGATTTTCAGTTCAATGGTTTTTTGTCTGACAAACTTCAATATGTAATCAAATAAGAATTTCAATATAAATATAGAATACATACATCTCGTTCTTGTTTAATTTGTGAACAAAGTATTGTTGGATCTTCATGTGTTTTAAGTGCATTAAAACGATTGGCTGTTTGATCGTACCATGTTTGTTTTTCGGTTAAAATTTTATTTGCTTTTTCAATATCATTTTGATCAATATGAGAATATTTATCACTTGATTTTGTATAATAAACTTGTAAAGCTTCATCAACACGTTGTATTGATTTCATAAATTCTTGCATATGATGTGAACGATTTTCGGCTTCATGATAACGAGTACGAATTGGTTCACCAAGGCTCTAATATAAATAAATAAATATGTTATAAATATTTTCAAATGTATTTACTTTTAAATTTTTCAAACGATCAACATAAACATTTTTCTCTTGATTCATTCCATCGTCATATAACCAATCTTCCGTTATTTGAAGATCACTTAATAATTTTTGACGAATTTTTTCATCCGAAAATTTTTCATAATCTCCACCATCGACTTTTCCACGCATTTCATAAACATATTCTTCAACAGCATTTTTAGCATCGGAACGTTCTTTTTCTTTTTTATCTTGCGATATCATTTCAAGCTATAAAATAATCGAAATAAGAATAATTTTTAGCAAAAATTAGTTCTTACTTCTTGTTCAATTAATCGTTCGAGTTCTTTTTTAGTTGCACCAGGTACTCGTGGTGTTATTGGTAAATCAATTTCTTTTTTTTTCTTTTTAGGTGTTGCTGCAGTAGCTGCTTTTGGTTTTCCTTCTTCATCTTTTTCCTTAAAAAAAGAGAAAATGCTTTATTCAATATAATAAATCGTACAAACTTTTTCATCTTGTTGAGCATCACCACTACCAGCGGCATTAGCTGGTGCAGCGCTCTTTTTAAAAGAAAACGAGAAATAATTTTTATAATAAATAAAGATTACTTACCTCTTCCATAGGTTCAGTTACTGTTGGAGCACTTTGATCTTCACCATTGTCTACTGTTTGTGCACCAGATGTTACTGTTTCCATGGTTTCTGCTATAAAATGAAACATTTCAATGTATAAAAAGGTTAGAAAACAAAACTGTATCTTACCAGGAGCGTCAGGTGCATTTGGTTCCTCAATAGTTTCAATAAGTGATGCTTGTGTTACATCGAAAATTCCATTACGATTAAGTCGAACTTTAACTTTAATTTTTGATGGTGTACCATCTGGTTGTGGTTGAATGTTTTCGATTGTATATTGACCTAGACATTCAATATATTTAATATATATATTTAAAAAAAAAGATTTCTTTCTTACCTATGCGTGATTCAGAAAATGGAATATCATTTGGATATGAATAACGAGCTTCAACTGTTAATGGTTCTCGTTTATAAAATGAAAGCATTTTTGTTGATGGTATTACATTCCATCGACTAAATACTTCAACTTCATTATCTTCATTAACACCTCCTTGCCATGATAATGTTATTGGATATGGTTGACAATCTTCAATTTTAAATTCTTTAACTTTAAATGTTGGACTTAATATAGCACACATTAAAGTACAACCACGTGCAACACTTTCATCAGCATTCATTGTTGTCATTGGTTTTTTAAGAAAAACATCTTCAACAATTTGTCTAATAGCTGGTACACGAGTTGAACCACCAACAATTTCGACACATTCAATATCGTCAACTGTTAGCTCTAAAATAATTTATAGATTATTGAAATGATATAAAATCTTGATTTAGTGACTCGCTTATACAGCGGATGAAAAAAAGCCACCCTCTCAGTATCAGGTTATAGAAATATTCTGCTACTATGAGTATTGTCACATCATTGTACAGTGTTAACATACACGTAAATATTCTGTCTCAAGTTTTAGCTGGTAGAAAAGAAGCCTGTAGTTAAACCTTGATGTAATAAATCATTTAATTTCCTTAGTTCTCTATGAATAAATAAGTACTTTTTCTTCTAGTCTTTATAATGATGAATAAGACATTAGACTATTCTATCAACATAAACAGATAAAAATAGCATCTCATTAAAAACAAGACATGAGAAGAATATTATTTTTAAATAGTTATTAATTAACATATAGAATTAAGTCATCTATGAATTGATCTTTCTTTAGAATAATAGGGGTGTAACCAGAAAAATGTTCTAGAGAAGAGGGCTGAGCCCCCGTTTAATTACGCGTCTATCTATCTTTTAGAAATTTAAATATATAAGACTTACTAGCTTCTTTAAGAAGACTTTCGAGTGTATGTCGTACACGTTCAAGTATTGGTTTAGCTAATTCTTCGAAATCAGCACGTGACATTTTTCCATTAACATCTTTTTCATCAATGAAACATTCAAGTCCAATTGGAATTGGTTGAGTGTTACTTGACATTAATTTTTTAGCTTTTTCACATTCAGCTCGTAATCGTAATTTTGCTTTAGCTGTACTATATGAATCAACTTTATAACGTTTTTGATAATCTTCACGCATAGCATCCATAATTATAGTATCGAAATCGCGACCACCTAATGATGGATCACAAGCTGTTGCTACCATCTTAAATACGAAAGACAGTCAATAATCATATATTTAATGATAAAATTCGAAAAGTTACTTTCAATTTGCCTTTATTAAATGCAACAACCGATGCTTGTAATGATGTATAACCCATATCAACAAAAGCAACAAGACGAGGTTTGTCAGCTGGTTCGGGAAGATCTGCTTTATAAATGCCATAACCAAGTGCAACTAAATTAAACAAAAGTAAATATTAAAATAGAATTTATAAAATATTACTAACAGAGTTTCAGAACCTTCCTCGTGCGCCCCCGCGCGAGGAGAGAAATTTCTGGAAAACTGCGTTTATGGAGAAAATTGCGGAAAATTCTAGAGAAGTTTTCGAGATTTAACTTAGGAAATTTTTCATTTTTTGGAAAATTCTGCACTTCTGATTACTAATTATTAAAAAACACTTAGATCTAAGAGAAGAATTTTTATTTGCAAAAAAAATACAAACGTATATCTAACTGTTCTCTACTTATTACAAAATTTTATTTAATAATCAATAACACAATGAATAAATTATAAACAAGATTAATTGATAATTATGTTAAAATGAAAAGATAACAAGTTAATTTAGAATATAATTGAATCATCGAAGTTGACATCAGTTTTATTAATCTGAGCATTGAAGAGAATTTCAAATAGCTCATATAGGAATCGAGAATTTTTCAATTCAAACCAATATATATATAACTCGACTAAATCTATCTTAGATTTAAATCAAATCCGAGATAACCATCGAGTATATTAATTTACTGATCTTATCTCATTCAACTGATAAGTAATCGACAACATCAAAATATTTTACCTGCTGTTGTTTCATTTAATAAACGAAGACAATTCCAACCAGCGATTTGTGAAGCATCAAGCATTGCTCGTCTTTCAGCATCAGTAAAATAACAAGGTACCTTAAAAAAAGAACATTTTTGTTTTTCTATGATATTATCTCAAATATCTTACTCCAATAACACAATCAATAGCTTTAGTTTTTAATTCAGTATCGGTTATTTGTCTTAATTTTGTAAACATTATTCCAGAGATTTGTTCGGGTGTAAATCGTTTACGTTCATTAAGATAGTCGACCTGAAATGATATCATATGAATTATTCTTATTCGAAATCAAATAAGATGTATCAATTTACTTCAATATTTACGGAACCATTATTTCCTTCAACAATTGAATAGGCATTAAAATCTTTTTCTTGTTGAACATATGAATCTTGATATCGTCGACCTATTAATCGTTTGAAATTATTAATTGTATTTTTTGCATTTGTAACTTCCATTGCTTTCGATGCTTGACCAACTGAACGAGTCGATTTGTCAAATGTGACATAAGTTCTAAAATATAAATAATTTTATTGGCTTTTTTCTTTTGAATCAAAAACTATTCTTTATAACTTACGGAGTTAGGCGATCTGAATATTCATTCGCAATAATTTCAACACCACCGGCACGGGCAACGCCGATATATGATGAAAAATTGCCCATATCAAGACCAACAACAGCCTAAAAATTGAACAAATTCTAGGGTGAAAAAGATTTTTTTTTGAAAATAGTTCTTACCATGTTAATTATAATAATATGAAAGTATTTGGAATGAGAAAAGAAGAAAATAACAAAGCAAGAATAATCTAAAAGATAATGCAGAGTACAACGAAAGAGAATAACAAGAAAACCGACGATTTATAAAGAACATAAAGACGTGCTAGCGACACGTTCGGAAGAAAAAATGAGACATGAAGAGAGAGAGTGCGGAGTAAAGAAGAACTTTCTCGACCATTCGAGAAGAAGCTAGTATGTTTGTTCCGTAGACAATGGTATTATATGGATCATATTATATCATATATTGGAATTTTTACAGGAAGAGTGTGACCTCTATGGGATAGATTTCATTTCTTCTTTTAAAATAAAAATTGAAGAAAATAAACTAAAGTTAAGAATGTAAAACTCTTTCGAATGACACAGAAAATGATTCAATTCATTGAAAATAAAGTTTTATTCAAGCTTTTTGCTGAATTTATATTCATATTTGAGTCAAGTTGTCGCTAAATGATGATGATGATATCAAGTATAGTTTCCTTCGATTATCATAGATGAATATATATACATTAAGGTGACTAACTCATGGAAGGTTAAAGTTAAATAAAACATGGTAAATCAAATATCTTGTATAAACAATAACATTTAGAAAAAAAAGACTTGTTTTGAATAGAATATAACTAATGGTTAATAGATAATGATTTAACCGATACAATCAAGGGAATTATAATACAATAAGTATCCTCTTTAATATTTTGGCGAATTTTGAGACGATTTCAGATTCAAAACGGTTTACTGTTTATTATATGAACATACCTTGAAAGAATTTGTTCACATTATACGAGCTTATTAACACGTGAATAGTATATATTTCACAACTTTTCCATAGAGACGTGGCTTGTTCTATCTGATTGACCAAATCAAATTATCTCAACAGGAAGGCTTCATAAATAATAATCTGTCTATTCATAATAAGCTTCCATGAACATCCTACACCACTGCTAATACTGATTGTACAGACGTCTTTTTTGCTAATATTTTACCGAACGATATACATACAGGAATTAAAATGAATACTGAAAAAATTTGTTGAATGCAAGGGTGATCATTTCTTTTCTTTCCTGTGGTAGATCTATTATCAAATGACTACAATACCGTACGTTCTATAGTATACGAGTCGTTACTATCCGAAAGCTGTAGATTTGCCGTTTGTTAATTACTATCCATGAATTCTTTCAATAGTACTTTATTTTTTTAAATAGCTGAGCTTTGCAATCTAAACACAACAAGTTTACTCAGAGTTAAATTGTAATTTTACATTATTTAATGAATTTTTTTGATTAATTAACATCATTATGAATTATATAATATCGTTAAAAGTATTGTAATCCTTTTTACAGTAGAATGGCCTCAAATAAGATCAATAATTTGCAGTGATAAACGATATTTTATTACCATTTAATTGTAATACATGTAAATAAGTTAAAAACAGTGATTGATAGAGAAGATTATTTCTCTGAATGTAACTACATAAAATATTGTTAGATAAATAAAGAAAAGTTCCTCAATAGAAAAAGAACTACGTATTTGTAATATGGTACTACATGAAAATCTCAAAATGATGGATTTATGTGTCTAATTATACTCATAAATACACTATAAAAAAAGACGTTTGTCTACGAAGAATGAGTGTAAGATAAATAAGATTTATTGGGGGTGCAAAGCAATTACAGTAGGAAGAAAATACTTCAGATCGAAGAGAATTATATTAATATCATAAAGATAATTTATGTATTGAAATTTAAAACAATATACCTACTTTTAAAGTTTATTATAAATCGGAAAAATAATAGCAATGATTTTCGATCATTTGTAATTTAATTCTCAAACTTATTCATATTCTTCAGACGTTATTATAATTTCGGACAGTACAGAATAATTTTTATCCTTCGTCACTTAATCTCATATCGATCAATGAATGATCGTTTTCTATTTTTATCCATGACATGTCTCTTAATAAATAAATGACTGATGAATCTTATTACCAATTAGATTGTTTACTATTGGCCACACTAGCTTGTTTATTACTAAATATAGTTTCTTTTTCTATATTGTTTTGATTATACATGTCATCCAAGTAAAATAGATAACAATACAAACAAGACCATCTGTAATAATAAATAAGTTTCGTATAAGATTCATTGAAAAGAGTTTCAATTTAAATGACTATATTTTAATCTGCATTTCACTTGCATTTATTTCTGTATCCTCTTCAAGTGCGATAACAGGGTGGAGAAAGCAATCATACAGTCGATAATTAAATAGAAATCCATGATGGATGGCTGACAACACGAGAAAAGAAAAACAGTCAGAGCTCTTCTAATCAAAGGATGTGTCTGTACATATTGACTTTTTAACCATTCAAAGTGCTCAAAAAGTCATCCATAATGATTCGAGACAAAAGTTAATCCATTTTCTCATAATATACACTAGATCATATTTGAATCATCACATTGATGTACATAATGTTATATTGTTGATTGTGAGAAGAAAAAACGACAAGTGAAAACGTACAGAACAAATGTATTTTATCAATTTTACCATATTGAAGTGTGTGAAAAAAGAATGAATGCAGCTGACACGACTACTCAACTATACGAGTGATGAATTGAAGATGATATATAAAAAGTGAACATTTTGAGATTTTACAAAAAAAAAAGTTCACTTTGAATTCACCAAGTTACTATTTTTAATGTATTAAAATAAACAATATCGATTTGTTTTACTGAGTATTTAACTTCAACAGAAAATATTCTGCAATCACCTGAAGCTGAGTATAAAGTGTTCTTGAACTTTACTATAACCCCTCGTTCGTTTTAGCCATTAATCCCATTTAAATTAGTCAATATAGAATATAAAGAAAAATAAATTCAATAGTACTTATGAATATCTAACCGATAGACTATGACGTAATGACGTTATTTTAAACGATTGATAATCAATAATTTTATTAGCTCAGAATATCTTTTACACACTAATAGACATTGACAGTAGCAGATGGTGATATATCTATATGTATGGAGCCAGACAGATGAAGGATTTCTTGTTGATGAATATTCAATTACTTTTCTTGTTAGTGGTTTCAAGTAACGAATGTTTGTTTTAATAGAAATGTTTCTATTTAACTTTATAGAATACTTTTCCTCCTTATATAAATATTATCTAGATGAAATTTCCGTTTTAATATACATTACATGATTTAATTATATATTACAATATAAAGATGATAAGCTCATTGTTAAATATATATATATGAGTGATAATATTTATAAAATCAAATGAAAATTCATTATCGCGTAGTTATTAAATATTTACTTGTATTTAGATACAACAAAACAAAACAAAGAGAAAAGGAAATTAACACACACACACAAACAAAAAGAAAATGAGAATACTGAATGGTGACTTATTCTAACATAAATGAGAAAAGAAATGTTTTTTCCGATTGAATACAATACAAATAAGTAAACATGAAACTGTTGCGATGCAATTAATCATATCACAAAGATAAGTATATATATATATGGAGAAGAGCGAGAGTGTGTCAATTTACATTCTCATCTTATCTGACTCCCGTTCTTTTATTGTTTCCTATCATCTGACTAGATGTATGTGATCGAAGATAAAATTTTTTCTAAATTCAGATGATAGGAGATGTTTGTGGAACAAGTTTGAACGAGACAGTATGTCGTTTGTGATAGATTAAATAACTAGCCATAGCAATAACTAAAGAAAAAAATAGACATGAAGCTATTACAGCAAATGGTATCCATGATACAATCAAATAATTTGCGGATCCATAAGTTTTTAATTGTGAATCAAAACGTTTCATATAGGGTGTTGCAAATTGATTATCAATTTCTTCTGCAGTAGTTAAAAATGGCGTAGTGGTGGTAGTAGTAGTTGTAGTAGTCATCATTGTAGTTAGTGCTGCTGTTGTTCTTCTTGTTGCTACTGTTGTTATTCTTGTTGTTGTTGTAGTAGTAGTTGTTGTTGTTGTTGTGCTTGCGCTTGTCATTTCTACTGTACCTGTCATATTTGTAACCATATCTTCTTCTTCTTCATCATCATCATCATCATAAATATTTGGTTCAATGAATACTCTAATTGTTGTTTGATCTTCTTTTGAATCAGGATAAAATGGTGGGTCTTGTTCATTAAAATCAATTAAAGGTGGTAATATTGATGGTGTTATAATTGCTGGTGTATTAACTTTAATAGTTGATTTCGTTTCTTTTTGTTTACGATTAAAATATTCAGATACAATCGAACATGATGAAAATAAACATCGATCATTATTTATTGATTGACATTTGATTAATTGTTCACCATCATCAATCATATTATTAAGAAAAGCTAATACACAATCACAATCATGATTTTCATGTGGTAAATAAACAGTTAAACCTAACATTCGTTTTCGATTTATAAAATCAGCTAATGCACAACTTGTATTAGCTTGTAAAGTTGAAAATTGTACATAACGTACATCTAATTGTTGTAATGAACTAAGTGAATTTATACTTTCTGAATCTAATAATCTTAAATATGAACCAAGTATTAATGTTTGTATATGTTTAACATGTTTTAATGCACCATCAGCAATACGTTCAGCATCAATTGAAATCGATCGTAAACTAGATAAATTTTCTAAACCATTTAGAACTTTTGATGTTATTGATACATCTGGTTGTATAATATTTAAACCAGTTAATTGTGTATAATTTATAAATGATAATGCATCTAATTTTCTCATTTTATGTGCTTCAATAGTATATGTTTGAACTGGAAATGGTGGAAATTCATCACTATTAAGTGTATCAATCATTCGTGTAATTTTCAATGATCGTATATGACCTGTATATTTTGATAAAAGTGTTGAATCATGTGTAACAACGGCTCCTTCAATATTTAAATGTGTTATATTTGTATGATTAAATATCGATTCAAATGGTGATCCTAATGAATCAGCATAAATTGAAAGTTCATTTATTTGAAGATTTTCAAAACTATTTCTATCAAATATTATTGATTTAGCTTTTAATGGTTGTAATTCAATTGTTAAACGTGAGTAAGATGTATTAATTTTATGGAATAAATTTCTAAATGTTCCTGTTTTAGCATGAAATGAATAAAAATTTTGAAAACGTAATGTTATTGATAATGTTTGTTGTGTTGTTGTTGTGTTTGAAAAAAGTTGATTTAATAAAATAAAATAATCCGAATCAAGTTGAATATATTCATCCGAATAAAATTTTAAATCGATTGATTGAAAATTTTGTTTTATTGATGGTGTTACGAATGTTAATGGAGCAATTTTTGACATTGTACAACGTATATCAATTGATTCATAACATGTACATGTCATACCAACAAATATATTACATGCTCGTGTTAATGACAATGATAAAAGAATTAAATAGAAATAGATAAGATACATTATAAGATCTAAAATAATTACATGTCCTTCAGATAAACAAAATGTAATTAGTATGATTTAAGTATTCATCTCATCTTTATGATGTCATTCGTGTACAAGACAAAGTACTATAAAAGATAATTACTAAAGAACATAAAGAAAAAAAAGAACCATGTAATAGACCGATTGACTATCCTAAATGTGATATTAAAAAAAAATCGTTTTTCTCTAGATGTATAAATGATACAATCGTCAATGTTACACATACAGATGTTGTGTCATCGATGAGTGTGATGTTGGGAGAATATAAGTGATTTATTTCTGTTCTCTTCTTGTTCTTTTAGTACGGCTGTTTCATCCTTTTGTTTTATTCATTTTTTATTTAACATTCGAAAAAAATTCAATAGTACTGTGTGTTTGGCGTGAACACATGCGTATGTAATCGGATGAATGCCACGCGAGTTCATTTTCTTCTTATCATAGAGGCCAGGTCAAGGTCAAGGTGAACATTACTCACTTACGAACTTCAAATATGAACACAGATGTATTGTTTTATATTACAAAGTATATAATATATCTGTAACAAACTGTTCAAATGTGCGAAAAAAAGGAGAGCGACACGTCTCGACCCTTATATTTCACTATATATTATTAATATATTCCGAATGCTCACTTCACTCTTTTTTCTTTCTTTCTTCTCTTTCTCTCTCTCGCTCTTCCCCACTTCTCTCTCTCTCTCGTTGTTCCCTATGATTCATAATCATATATATTTAGAGATATATTGACAGCAGAGTGAAATGTCTGATCGATATGAATGATGATAAGTGTCTCAACTGAAAGTTATTCAAATAATAACAATAATAATAATCGCTCATCCATTTACTCATTGAAATGGAATCGGCGTAATACATACAACTGTAATCATTCTATATGTATATATACATATATGTGTCATTTTACTTTTTCTTTTTCTCGTATACGGTTTCCGCTTAGTTCTTCGTACAACGACAACAGCAATAATCATGATGATGATGATGCAATAATCAATTCTGTGCAGCTGCTCTTAATGCCGTTCAATTCCTCCCTCTCTCTCTCTCTCATCCTCTTTTTTCGGATGTTGATTTCGAAGAAAAGATTTACTCAAACAAAAAGGAAAAAAAGTAGTCTTAAAAAAAGAGAAGGGAAATTATCAATTATTCTCGGAACGTGACATTTTTGCTATCTTTATCTGTTTCATCAAATAATAAGGAAATCTAAGCATGCTATGATAGAATTTCTTATACTTACTCTCCAGATGTGTATGTGTGTATACGAATGGAGATTCATCCGTTTGATGTCAATCAACATATGGTCTAAACTTACCTGATGATAACTTCTTAGTGTCTGTTTTATTCAACGTGAAAATGTAATTATGAAGTTTCGATACTGTTTGATTTTATGCCGAATCTCAAGGGTATGAACAAACTAATGTGAACAGACAATAAACCCTTACATTTTTAGTATGCCATGACTAATAAATATACGCGAAGAAGAAAAGAGAAAAGAGAAAAGAGAAAAGAGATTCGGCTCTTTCTTTTTTTTTTTCATACATGTATACATATAGCTGTGCGTGCGTATGAACTATCAAAGTTTTTTATACCCACGCGATGATAACCTTCATCATCTTTCCATTTATTCATTAAATGAGAAAAAAAGGCATAGTAGATATGAAACCGAGACATCGCAATATCATAAGAACTATTTATCAAGGT